AGCTCCTTGAGGGACTTGCTGGCGGAGGCCTCGCTGCCGACCTGGAAGAACTGGATGCCGGCCTGGTACAGGGGGGCGTCCATGTCGTCGAGCTTCCTGGCGGCCTGCACGATGACGCTCTCCGGGTCGTCTGTGGGGACTCCGTCGGTGATGACGATGATGTTGATGGGCTTCACGGACTCCGCGTCCCCAGACGCATCGAGCTTGGCAAGGTAGGGCTTCAGGATGCTCCTCAAACGCCCGCCCGTGGGGGTGGATCCGGAGGGGCGGGTGCCGTTGAAGATCTTGGTGACGGTGTCCGGGTTGGAGATGTTGTAGTAGCCTCCGTCGGCCTTGCCCTCGCTGGCGTCTCCCGTGTTGTTGGACCTGTGGTTGATGAAGTAGAGGTCGATGCCGTCCTTGTCCCGCTTGGTGCAGATGGGGACGATGTTCTTGAGAACCTGTCGGACCTGCTCCCACCTTGAACCCGTCATGGAATACGAGTCGTCGATGAGGAAGATTGTATCGAAGGAGGTGAGAAAAGCATACGGGTCATCATCATTGGTGACCATGTCTCTGCTGATCCTGCTCGCTCTGCTGGAGGCTGCAGAAGGGGCGCGAGGGACGTTGAGAGCGGAAGATGCCTGAGCGACAGGTGCAGCATTTTGGGTGTACGCTGGAGGCGGATCTGAAGCTATTGTCGGAGATCAAAGTTAGGAAAAGGCGGGCTGAGAGAGCAAAGGTATCACAAATCCAGGGGAATACTTACGAGTATCCTTAGAATCCTGGAAGAAGGGGTTATTGGAGCTCTTCTTCGAGAACTTTCCCTTGATGGATCCGAAAAACGACATCTTGGGGGCTGGTTGCGGACTTCTGAAGGGATTGTTGCTCTGGTATCGACACTCGTAAGGTGGTGTTGCTGGGGGAGTAAACACTTGGTAGTGGCATTGCGAGCGGGAATAATTGGGGTAGACGGAGGCCATCGTGGAATTTATGGAAGCAGAGATCGAGTTAGACTTTGGCTAAGTTAATGGGCCTTTGTTAGTGGCTTTGTTATCCTTCGCCTCGTGATTCAGATACGGGTGTTTGCAGGTGTGTTTTGCTTCTTTCTTTTGATCGGCTTGCTTTGTTCGTGCATCTACCCGGCCGTCGAGCGGTTCTTTATATTATCTCATTTGACATGCTGTTAGATTGCATATGGACTTGTCAATAGACTGCTGTGGCAGCCTCGTGAGGCTCAGTGAACAAGGCATGCCTTGAGGAGTGTCTTGCATCTCAGTAACGTGCCTTAGGCTTTCATCGCACAGCCTCGTGGATGAACCATTGGAGAGTTTCAGCAGGGGCTGTGTGTGGCCGTGCTGCCGCGCTAAGCCCTGTAGGTTCCCGCTATCTTTGCGTGGTACTTGCCACACCACGGGATTTGGCGCTAATGGGCATGTACCTTTTCATCATGCGGGTTCCCCAAGGCGGTCTTGGCGGCTGACTGCCATTGATCAGAGCCTCCTGGTGTCAATTACTCCCAACATACTCCGCCGAGTTTGTGAACTCTGACTGTAGTGATTGTCAGGTGTCACAGCTAACTTTTTTTATGCTTCGCCCGGCACAATTGTAGGCAATGTTGGTGGCCAAAAAGCCTCCATACCGCTCACCGATGGGCATAGCACGCCGCATGGCACGGACTGCACGTGGATGCATGAATGGTGTCCTGACATTGTCATCTACACAGACCTTTGGAAGCGAGTTTCCAGGATTCTAGAACAACGCCAGCCTGGCTTCTGCGTCCACAACGGGGGAGTTCCCTGACGCTGGGTCCAGAAAGTCGCGTGGTGTCAGGGTCCAAGTCACCAGTCCGCGGATGCATACATCTGATATCGAACTTGAACATCCATGCTACGGAACGCTGCCTCGCCTGCAAATACGAGATGGGGATACTCTCCGTTTGTTTCGGCCGTGTGCCGGGGCAATGTTCTTGTTCACTTGCAACACCAAAGATAAGCCGGCTCACGTACGCAGGTAAGCCAATTGAGAACTTGCCATCCCTCGACGCGGGGGGGGATAGTCCAGGCTTCCAAGAAATCAGGAGACTGTCAGAGTGCGCATGTTGTTGGTTCTGTCGGTCGAGTCATGTAGGGGGTATCATTGTGAGGCGCATACGTTTGTGTCGTGTAAACACGCGCAACCACGCGCAACCACGATGCTCTCCCGGAGGCGACGGGCTGGAAGCATCGGGCCGTGCATGGTATGAATGCTGCCATCGTGTTGATGCAATAGTATAAACGTCAAGCAAATCACCAGACTGTATCCATGGCCTTGCCCCTTTGGGAGTAGGTGATGGGCGACTGGGCCGGGCCATCCCGGAGCGTGGTCCTTCAAAGGGAGGGTTTTCCATTGAGCAAGGATCCGTCTCCATGATATTGGATGGAGGGAGGATGGCCAAGTTCTTATACTTCCAGCGCCGGGCTGTGCAGTCCCTTGGGCATCAAGGTCGGATATCGGGTTGGAAGATATACGGTACGTGGGCTGCAGGCAGAGTCTGGAGAAGATCGAAGGAGCAGAGGCAGAAGCAGGCAATTTCAAGGCAGACAAGCAGTGTAACAGCAGATTGGCTCAGCAGGGAAAGGGGCCGGGCGAGATGGAGCCAGTCCCCGGAACTTGACCGCGGCCCACAGCCATGGCTCCAGTTGCTTTAAATGATTGGGCCCGAGATTCAAAGTAAATGGCTGCCCGGTGTCATTCCAGCACTGGAAACTTTGCTATTGAGGATGAGAGAATTAAGAAAAAAAAGGCTCAAGCGAGACCAGCCTTGCCCCTGAAGAGTGAGATTACCAGCATGTACGCTCTGACTTATGAGGGCCCAACAAAGACTGAAGCTACTGCTGAGCTGACCGACTATGACGATCAGGGCCCCGTTTCAGTCGGTGATGAGGCGCATAACTAGCGGCGGGAGCCATTTCACTGGGTAAGTAGAGAGTAGGTCTTGATGATGTACCTGAGCACTACATGGTGAGACATTGCAAACGGGAGAGGCACGCCGGTAGATGCCCAACCGCCGGGCATGTAGATGGACAAGTGAAGCTGCTGCAGATCCCTGGACAATGGCGAGTATCTTCTACTATCAACAGCCTCAGAGGCCGCCAAACAGGAACGTTGCTTTTGTCAGCCACACCGTGGCTTGCATATTACGAGCTTCTGGTTCCGGAGTCGCTCGAACATAGTGTTTCAATTCATGCCTAATGCTAACACTATTGAACGAATGGCTGGCTTCCCTTATTCAGTTTTCAATGCACGGAAAAGCATCGCGGGTAGTGTTATCAGGGACATGCAGGTACAGGCGATCCGTACTGGGAACCTGCATGCCGTTTATCGGCCATCCTTGTACAGAGACGCCCGACGGCTGTGTGTAGCAGCGAGAATTCCTCGCAGACAGTCCCAAGAACGGCCACTTCTCATTTCTACAGAGATTCCCTTCAGCAACACACGACGGGCCCATCGAGCCCAATCGAGGTGATGTGAGCGGCGATGGGGCCGGGCAGGCCTGGATGCATGGGGGGTCACACCCTGCATTGCCATTGCATATAAATTATCATCGAGCCAAGCAGGCTTCCCGTTTTGGGTAGCTCTGATGTAGCTCACCCTCATCCCCCAGACAGACGTCTCAAAAAGCTGTGCGTGTGCACCAAAGCAAGCCACGGAGCTGCCGACACTCGACGTCGTCGTTGTTTGGACCCTGGTCCGTGCCGGAATCCCGAGCTGAGTTAATAGTCACGAATTGTGCGAGGATCCTTTGGACAGCAGCATCCCGCCCTCTGGTTTTGTCCTAGTAGCAGACAGGGACCCAGCACCACTTCACTTGTTTGCTCTCGTGCATGCGAGGTAGAGCTACCTCGCGAGAAGGTGTAAGATCGCTATTGCTGCTCCTGTTGCAGTCGCCCGCCGAGTCCAGAGTACTTCTGGTCCGGCGGTAGGGCCCTGTGCAGGGCTGCAGCTCGCAATCCTGCCCCCCTGAGCTGTACGTGTCTTTACTTTTTGTGTTGTTCTGGGCCTCGATCTGGCTGACGTCGCTGCTGTGCGTGTCTGCCATTCGACGGAATCTGGATGCGTCCCAGGGTTAATTGCCTCTGGCCATCTCCCATCTCACGAATACTTGCCTGAAAAGCCTCTCGGGATCTTGTACCCAGCAATGTACCTGTGCTGTAGCTCGATGACCTAGCTCGAGACCCAGTCTTCCCCGTTGTACGTACTTCCTCAGTAGGGCCTCAGAGGATGGCCATCTTTAAATATTCCATGTTCCTCCACCAACCCAACCCAGCCCAACTCCATCCAGATAAAAACCTCCTTGCCCGTTGGCCTTTTCCCCTCCACTCTTCTTTGCATCTGCCCTCCCCCGTCCTTCCCCATAGCCTGCCCGCTGGTGAATGAGACACTCGCCGGCCCAGACCTTATCCCAAGCTATTATACGTATACCACAACCCACCCTCTGTCGTCATGGCGTTCAGCGGACGCAAATTCTCCATCAACCGCCATACTGGCGTCCCCAAGCCTGTCATTCGACGGGGCAGCTTCACTGCTGAGCCTGGTCTGAATGGTGAGTTTCCAGCTCTGGATTACCTCCCTGCATCTGCACTTGCATCATAGTTGCGCCCACCTGGTCGCACAGCTCTCTGGGGTGGCGCCTGCCGAAAAAAAAAAATCACCATTTCGCTGGGCTCTGCAACAACGATTCAAGACATTTTCAAGTCAACTCGACTTGACTTAAATCGCAAGCAAATGCCCAGTTGAGACACCTTCACCGACTTCTTCAATCCCTTGCCCCCACCAACTCTGACGTCCCCCCCTCCTCTTACCGCCCCCCACCAAATCCTGCCTATGCAGCACGGATCTATCTTCCTAAGCATGCAAGCCACTGAAGCAAGCGCTGACTGACGGGATTCGGCACCTACAGAAATCCAGTCCAAGGTCCATCGACAGTTCCGCAATGCCCACGAGGGCCACATGCCCCACGCCGGTCTCGATGCCAGCCGATCCTCGACCGGTGTCGTCTGGTGCACAGAGCGCGCCTCCGAGTATGGCTTCCTCGAGGACCCCGACAGCTGGGCCAACCTGGGACAGGGTGCCCCTGAAGTCGAAGATGAGATCGCCGGCTGCTTCGAGCGTCCCAAGACCATCGACATCTCCATGGCCGGTCGAGAGTACGGTCCCACCGCCGGTATCAAGCCCCTCCGAGAAGCTGTCGCCAACCTTTACAATGAGCACCATCGCCAGGGCAAGGACAGCTTGTACACCTGGGAGAACGTGGCCATCGTCCCTGGTGGTCGCGCCGGTCTGATCCGTATCGCTGCTGTTCTGGGCAACTCGTACCTGAGTTTCTTCTTGCCCGACTACACTGCCTACAATGAAATGCTGAGTCTCTTCAAGAACGTAAGCTTGCTCTTTTTCCCCAACTGAATACGCGGCGCGTTTGATTGGATTCTAACACTGGCCGCATCTTTAGTTTGCCGCCATTCCTGTGCCTCTCTCCGAGGAGGATGGCTACCATATTCACCCCGACAAGATCGCCGAAGAAATTGCCCGTGGTACTTCAGTCATCCTGACCTCCAACCCCCGTAACCCTACCGGCCGAGTCGTTGCCAACCCCGAATTGGCTGAGATCCAGGATATCTGCCGTGGTCGTGCCACCCTAATCAGCGATGAGTTCTACTCTGGCTACAACTACACAAGCAACTGCGACGGAACCACCATCTCCGCTGCTGAGAACGTTGAGGATGTCAACGAGGACGATGTCCTCATCATTGATGGCCTCACCAAGCGATTCCGTCTTCCTGGATGGAGAATCGCATGGATCGTTGGTCCCAAGGGTAGGTTCCAAGAAAATCTTCATCCCTTAACCCTTAAAGCTATTTAGAAGGATGAAATCGCTGATATGATGCTCGTTAGAATACATTGCCGCGTATGTTACATCTGGCGTACCCAATTGTAGAATTCCCTCTCCCTAGTTACTAACGTTCCCTTCAGTATCGGTTCCTGCGGTAGTTATCTGGATGGTGGTGCCGCCCATCCCTTCCAGGAGGCTGCTGTCCCCATGCTCAAGCCCGACCTCGTCACGAAGGAAATGATTGCTCTCCAAACTCACTTCCGCGTAATTAACCCAACCCAAGCAAGGCCTATGCAGTGGATTGGCTAACAATCCAACAGTACAAGCGTGATCTCGTCGTCCGACGTCTCCGGGAGATGGGTTTCGTTATCAAATACGTCCCTGACTCCACCTTCTACCTCTGGCTGAACCTGGAGGGTCTTCCCGGCCCCATCTCTGACGGCCTGAACTTCTTCCAGGCATGCTTGGAAGAGAAGGTCATTGTCGTCCCTGGTATCTTCTTCGATCTCAACCCCTCACGCCGTCGTGATCTCTTCGACAGTCCCTGCCACCACTTCGTGCGTTTCTCGTACGGCCCCAGAATCGAGGTCCTCGAGATGGGACTAGACGCCATCGAGCGCGTTGTGAACAAGTATGCACTGAGAAATACAGTCCCACACGTTGATTGTTCCTCCTCGCTAACATGTATGCCCAGGCACCGCCGCGCCGCGTAAACCAACGCACAGTTAGGCCACACAAATGGACTTCTTTATTAGACCAAGGTCATCACGGAAACATTTTAGATTTGGCAATCTTTGGTTACGAATATTGGGCAGATCAATTCGCCACCGTGCGAAGTACAACCGGTTGGATGGTATGCTAGAGTTAAAAGAGGGGGTGTGGTATCCTATCATGGGTGCCCAACCAGGCGGACCAGACCTTTTGAGTCTGGGGAATCTTAATGACCAATGAAGTTACATTAGAACGAGCTCAACGATGTTATTGCTTTTTGGGGATTTGATGATTGCTTCTCCGCTATCTGGGTGGGATGTTGCAACCCACCTTTCCGAGTGATAAGACTTGACAGGGTCAAGGAGATAATCTGTGAGGAATCCATTTTGGCATGCCGGGTCTCGCGCCATGTATGCTTACAACACCCCACGGCACCCTGTCTTTGTGCCCCCATGCGAACCTGTCTACATGCCTCCGATGCCGCTCCCGATGCACCTCGGAGGAAGAATCAATGTGGGGTGAACGAGGTGGCACATCAACCCCGCAACAGGGACAAGCGGCTTGTGGCCTATTGAAGCCTCACGTGCGTGTCACGACTGTGATAAATGACAAGGACCCCCAACTGGCTGAGGAGCCAGGGGAAGGGAAGATTGAACAGCACATCAGCTCTAACTGCAAGGAGACAGCCTTATCAGATTGGACTCGCCGTATCGGGGGCGCGGGCTCAGGTTGCGTGAAGGCCGGGACTCAGGAGCACGCCTTCTGCTCAGGTCCTCCGGGACCTCTGAGGCCGAAGCTGAGGAGCATGTTCTCCAGCAGAAGTAAGCCGGGGACTTCCAGTGCGGGCGGTGCGGTGCGGACCGCGGCGGAAACGCCAGGTAGCCTGCAATTGCGCAATGCCGAGAATTTTATTTAAATTTCTTAAGATGGGACGATAGGTTCATATGTCGTGAATTCGGGGGCCAGTGTCGTGCTTGATCGATCTCATCATCCCATCTGGGGTTTCTCGGACCGGACCTCTTCCCCAGAGCTTCAAGCTCCACTTCCGTTCCCCAGAAAACAAACCTCCAACGGGAAATAAAAAAACTTTACCAGGGAGGGGGGAGAAAACAAAAAATTTCGACTTCATCCGAACTCACCAAACCCATCACACCCGCCCAATCGCACCCACCAGCAAACAAACCACCTTTGAACCATGGCGGCGTCACTCCTCCGCCTACGCCCAGTACTGCGGCCCCGCGCGACTCTGCTGCCCTCCTGGGCCGTAGCCACCCGAGCCAACCACAACGGCAGGCCCGCCGCGGCGACGATGGACGTCAACACGGCGCTGAGCTCGCCGGCGTCGCTGCCCGCCCCGGGCGAGGGGGAGCCTATCACGCTCGACGTGTCCGGGGACGGGACGACGGTGAAGCTGGACCAGATGGGCCCGCTCGTCGTCAACCACGACGGGAGCGTGGGCCGCCTGACCAACTGGGCCGAGATGACCAAGGCGGAGCAGAAGAACACGCTCAGGATCCTGGGTAGGCGGAACAAGCAGCGGCTCGAGGCGCTTCAGAAGAGGCGGCAGATAGAGAAGGAGCAGGATGTCGGAGGGCAGGGCTCGAGCTCCACCTCCAATTAATAATCACGGCACGGCGGTGAAATAATGAGTGTGAGTGAGTGAGGAGGCATTTAATTGTATGAATAGAAATCAGAACATATATAAAGCATTTATCATTTATAAGCGTAAAATTGCAAATGGGATATCCCCGGCAACCCCTCCAACCCCCATTCGTAGCTTAGTAGCCGTGTATATCCAATGCTGCCGCCCAACCCATCCTAGGTCCGCCAAGGAAACCGGCAGAGCAGACCGTCAGACTGCCTGCAGAGCGCCTTTGCGGACCGAAATAAATTCACATTAAACAAACGCCACTTGCACGGAACGCCCCCCTCCATTATCTCCTTGCGGAATGCAGAATCATGGTCAGGGAACTCTACTTGAGAACAAGAGAGCTCAAGTTGGTGTGGCCGGATATCACCGCTCCTCTCTCGAGGCGTCGGGCTTTGACAACTTGCTGGCGTGTTTTGTGAATTCCTTCCATAGACTAGAGATGTCCTCGCCGCCTCCGTTCTTGTCAACGAGAAGGTTCTTTAACCACTTGTTCTCAGTCTCGAGCTGGGAAACCTTGCTCTCCAGAGCAGTGACCTTGTCGGTCATCTCCTTGGCTGATTTCTCGAGGGCCTGCTCTCTCTGCTTCTTCTTGATGCGGAATCGCGCGCTGGCGGCTGTGTTACGCCTTCGCTTGTCTTCCTCAGCAGCTACCCTCGAGGCCTCCTCAAGGGAAACGGGCCTGCTGGGGGCACTGGAGGCCTCATCCTTGCGCTTCTCCGTCGCCCGAGGAGCAGACGCATGCGAATATGAGCCGTGCTGAGCGGTGGGAACTTGGTTACGGTAAACCAAGCCGTGGTTGGGCTGGAGGGGTGGGAAATTGTGGGAACTCTCTGGGGCGAAGTTGTTCATGGATGGCGCCTGGTAGCTGCCGTTGAAATCCGCAAAGTTGAAGTCTCCTAAACAATATGATATCAGCGGCTGCAACGCGATGGCTGGAATTGAACGACGAGAATTGAACGACAAGGCAGGCGGTGAATTGAGTAATAGACCATGATGGGGAATAAAAGCCTCCCCCACCGAGGCCAAGCGGGAAACCGTGTGCTGAACTTCATGTTCTCAACTGCCATTCGGGCGATTAGGAGAGATCACGAGAAATTGCGCCATAGTACGCAATTTGTAAGCCCACTTTGATGCACCAGTGAGAGTGCAGATGTGGCCCCACCCAGGTACAACCACCAAAAGTGCCCAGAGGCGACGGTCCATGTGATTTGGCACACCGTTTGCCCGGATTGGCTTGCCGCTGGAAAAAGGGAGCAGGGTTGTGAAAGGAGCGTATCAAATGCTGGGCAGGTCTCAAATCCTGCCTGTTTGTGGTAGTGATTTTGCAGCCTTGCTAAGACCCTAGAGCCGATGGCGCAATAGAGGGGTGAAGCGAAATAGAGCCGTTTGCAAAATGCAACCAAACGTAAGGAAAAATCAAATAGGAAATTGGAAAGTGCTTCGCAAATGGTAGAGGAATGAAAATAAATTGTTACGTACCGTGCACGAAATCAATGGAAGACATGTCGCCCGTGACTGAGGCAGAAGTTGGGTCCTCGGCAATCGAGGGAGCGGAGCTGCTCGCAACAGTGGTGTCGACCTTGACGGGAGGTGCTTGGAAGTCGGTTTGCTGGCCAGAATCGAAGTCGTAGAATTCAGTGTTGGTGAAGAGCGTGAGCTCTTCGCCGCCCATGCTGAAGTTGTCGTCGCCGTTGGACTCTTGAGGGCTGATGGTGTTGAGGTCCCGCAGGTACTGCGAGATGTTCACGCCCCTTCGGCCGCCGTTGTAGCTCGACATTGTGACTCGATCGGAAGAATGAAATTGAATATTTCAGACGGCAGAATGGCGATCAAATTTTTGGCACTGGAAGGGCCAGCGGTGGTGGTTGTTGTTGTTGGTATGGGGAAGGATTTGATTGCAACCAATCCGATGTAATAATGAGCGACCGGCGTGCTTTCGGTGCGGTGCGGGCTGCTTGCAGTCCTCGATGCCGCAAAGCCGATGGTGTGTCTGGACTGGTTCCTCTGGATGCTGCGATGTCGTGGCCGCAGAACTGGTGGTAGAATCGGCGCTCGAATCAATCGTGGGTTCGCCGGGCGTGAAGTCGATGATGAAGGACAAGCGAGAGCAGGTTGGTTGGTCTCCTGCGGGTTTTCTTTAGACCAGTCGTGGCTGCTGCACCGGACGTGGATGGATGGAGAGGGCAATTAGTGAGCACAGTGGGGCGGCAGGTATGTTAGGTTGATATGGCCGAGGGACACCGAGAAAATGGCGCAGCTGCAGCTCCAGGATATAGTGGCAGTTTTGGGGGGCTTTAGGCGCTCGATGGTCGAGGGTCAGTCCCAGCGTAGCAGACAAACCCAGCGGGGTGGGTGGGGGTTCACCCAAGCCCTGCTGCTGCTGCATGGCTGCAGGCTTTCATGGTTCTGTCCCAGAGCCTGCAACTGCCTTAGTCTGGCCCGCTAAAGCGTCCCAATGTAAGCGAGATGCCGACGCTCATTGGCCACGCCTCGTTGGACTTGTTGCTATTTGTAATGGACATGCCTCAATCTGCTGGTTATCCCCTACCACGTCGTAGCCTTTGCAACGCAAATTGTATCCATGGAGGTATGATCGGGAACCATTGACCTGAGCTATGCAGCCGCACGCATTCAGGGTCCACGCCAGTGCGACTCGGCACTGTACTGAATCATTACGCGATACTTCTCTGACTGGCCATCTCCCTCCTCTTCCTGCATGTGGCGACGCTGTCAAAGATGGCTGTCTCCATTGTTGCATCCAAGTGCAACCAGGGCATGTCAAACCGGTGCCCATCCAATGGCAACGGGCCAGCCAGATTCCTTTCTCGTGGCTGTCCCGAGGCGTTCCAACCCTTTCCGAAGCTAATCGGCACGAGAGCGCACTACGGCGAAGGTCGTTTTCGTCACCTTGTTCCGTCCGCTCAGGGCTGGCTCAGCTGGTTCCTTCCAATGTCGCCACTCACACACGCTAGAAAAAGTTTTTTTAATACTAATTTGATCACCGGCCATTCTGGTACAGAATATACTCTTTCAGGCATTCTCCCGTTCTCGTCAGTGACCTCTGATCACCAGATAAACCTTGCAGGGGCGACAAAGTGATGGTCCACATCTCCTGTTTCTTCAAACATGCAGCTGGACCCCTCAGGTGACATCAATATCACAGCGTGGCGGCAGTGTGCAGCTGTCGTATTGTGTGCTGGGGTGCATGGTGGGCTGCAAGTCGTTGACGTGACCGACCTCATGGGTGGTAATTGTGGGTCGCCACTGTGCACGCTGAACCTCCTTTAGCCCTTCCGCGTAGGAATGTACGAATGTGTACATCCGAACCGTTACGCCTCCGATTCGCGGTGCCGTTCCATAGTAGCTTAGTCATCTTCTGCCTTCAACGGCTAACCCTTTTTGGGTTTTGATATGGAGCCTCAGCTTAACGGACAGCGACGCGTCTCAATGCAGTATTGATATTGATTTCAAGGCTGCGTTTGTCTGAGGGTGTTGTCACACTGGTCTGAAGCCGAATGAACCCAACCCCAGGTCACTGGTCCTGTGATGAAACGATTGAAGCACCGGGCTGACGGGTTTTATTCTTTTTTATGGTTCACAGAACATCAACATGGCACGGTTAACAGTGCCAAACACAGCGAGACTACCATCGTCTGTCCGCGTTGATGCCTCAACGTCGGCTGTTGTGAAAAGCCTGAACAGGCTGACGCGAGAATCTCTCATTTCACTTGCTCTGGATTGGTTGGATGAGTCTGCATTTCCAAACTCAACACCGTTTCTCCGAGCTAGGATGAGTGAGGAGGAGGAGGAGGAAGACGATGAGGAAGATTCCGAGGATATTTATCCTCCAGCACGGACAATCGAAGACTTACGCCAGTTATATGAGGATATGCGCCAACAGAAAGGGTCCAAACGAGATGTCGTCAGCCGAATCTTGGAGGGGGATTGGCGTCACGGGTTGACATTATATCAACTTGCAATGGCAGATTTCGCCTACCTTGATGAGCATCCTACGTCGCAAAAATGGAATGCCTACCAGATATTGCCGCTTCAAAAACCCAGCCACACCGAGGATGAGCAGCTTCTCAAGGTGGACAAAGAGAGCTTACAGGCACCTCGATTTCACCCTTCAACTTTCCTACAGAACCTCCAGGATCAAGTACTACCGGACGTCAAGGCACACTACCATTTTCATCGGCTTCAGGAGTTTCCCTTACTACTACTGAGGATATTCGTCATTGATTCGCCATATAACAGTGCCTTGGCTCTCTCAAGTCTAGATCAATCAGGGACCGTTACCAATTTCGATGCATCTCGCACGATTTATCTAGCTTTCCCGGATGGATCACCGTCGCTATATACTACCAAATCTCAAGGGACAGGCTCAGCTGGTACGGGGGAATCGAAGAGCCTGCAGAACCTCATCATCGACGGGGTACCAAAAGCCCTTTCCCGTCCAATGGAGCGGTACACGGTGAAATCAACCAGTATAACGACTCGTAACCTAGCTGCATTGCTGGACATGAAGGGCCCGGGGCGTGGAAATGCTGCAGGTGGAGGCTGGTCAATATATTCCGATGAGAAGAAAAAGCAGTCACCTTTGGACGCCATTTTACCGACACCACCAGGGTCAAGAGAACAGTCCGCGTCGACCTCTAGTCGGAAAAGGGGCGCCCCGCTTACTCAATCCCAGAGGGACCGAAAACGAGCGAGGGCTGCAGCCCAGTCTAGATTTGGCGACTCGGCTTCTATATCAGATGGAAAGGGCATTGAGCGATTCGAGGTCGTTCTACAAGATCCATTTCCTACCACCTCCCGCAACCGACCTGCCCTGGAAACAAATCTGGAAGAAGTTTCGGAAGATGGTGAAGCTCAGAGCCGACCAAACCATCGGCGAAGCAAGGTAGAATCTGTTTTGCAACAAGCAGTCCAAGATATTGATGACGTGGACGACGTGAATGAAGTGGACACAAGCCCTTCGAATTGGACACCAATACTAAAGGTCACATTTAGTGGACCTCATGTTTTCGCAGGGATTCGACAACTCGTCGAGGCTGGAATCGTTGACGGCAAACGAATGCCGGGGTGGATGACCGGAGAGGAAACGGTGACCAAAGGCGCCGTGCATCGGGGTCGAATAAGAGGCCAAAAAGGCTCAGGATTATGATCTTCAGTATCTTCTATTTATGCGCTTAATGATACCCACTATATATCTATGTCCGTCTACCGTTCGCTTTCTAAACCAAACACCTGGGCAGTGTTCTTCCAGGCGGCTTCACAGACTTCCTCGACAGAAACCTGCTTGATCCCTGCAACAATCTTCGCAATCCGTTCGATGCTGCAAGGTTCATTCCGGCCCTTGACCATAGCACCCTCGACCCATTTCTCTTTCTTCACGACCTTCCACCTTTCAGGGACTTCGGGTTCCTTCTTTTGGTTCTTCTTCTTCGCTAGCTGCTGCTTTAGTGGCTGTGCTTGCGCTTCTGGCGGGGCCCCATTCTGTGCCTCCTTCTTCTCGATGAGGTACTTGTAGCCTTCGTGGCTAGGGCGGACCTCGCACCATGGCCCGTCAGTCTCGAGCATGAGCCTATCCAGACGGACCTCCTTGACGACCTCACAGTTCTCAACGGTCTTGAAGCTGCATCCGTTGATTCCGATGTAAAGGCCAAGGTCCATCAGCTCCCGCATTTCCTCGACGGTACCGGTGAAGCTGTGCACCACGCCACCTTTCTCCAGTTTTTCCAGGTCCTGGCCATAGGCCTCCTTCAGACACGAAACAAAGTCCCGGTGGGCGGCCCGTGAATGCAGAAACAGGGGAAGCTGGGGTTTGAGCGAAGCGGAAACCTTGAGCTGCTCCCCGAAAGAGTGGAGCTGGATACCCTTGGAACAATAGTGCAGTCTGTCGTAGTCGAGGCCGAACTCGCCAAACGCAACCAGATGCTGATTGCCAGATGACCTCGCCTTGGAAATCAGGTTGGTCAAGTCGGTGATAATCTCATCAGACTTGACCAGGTCGGGCTCGTGGTCATCCGGGATCGGTGCCGATGGGTCGGGATCACATGGTGCTGTGTGTTCAGCCTCTTCGGAGACTGCTTTAGAGCTAAAGATGGCGCTGCTACAGGGATGGATGCCAGCGGTAGCATAGGCCGTTCCAGCTGATATAGATTAGCTGGAGGACCTTGTTCAACAAGCTGACATCACTTACGGAACTCTTCAGTGAGAAGCAGTGCGTCCCGACAGCTCGCAAAGTCGGATCCCGTTATGATCATCTTCGTGCACCCTACTTCCTTAGCTCGGCCAATGACAGCGTTGAGGTCGTCAGGATGAGACTGTTTTCCACGGTGCTTGCCGCGGAAAATGGGGTCGGCCAGGTTGATTCCGATCTACCAGACATGAAAAGAGGGAGTCAGATCCATATGTTCACAGCAAGTTTATCAGTTCTTACATCAATATATCTGGGCTTATACTCTGGGTCGGAGAACCCATTGGTGGCAGCGGGTAACGCCATGCTTGCAATAGGAGAAAAGCGGCCAAAGTAATTGATGCGGGAGAAGGAATTCCTAAAAGACAAAACTGGTCGCCTTGCGAACATATAGGATGAAGGGGGAAGGGGTCTGGACTTGAGAGTTCTCTGAATGAGTCACTACGGGGCCTGAACCAGTTTCCAAATTGTAACCCAAGGCCAGCTGCGATTGGGCTAGTTAATCTGACCTGCAGCGCATCTCAGCTATGACTGATTAAGAACACACCAGATCAAGCATTGGCTGGTGTTGCTGCCTGTTCACATAAGCGTTCGATTTTCCATATCACGTGATTGGGTCCACCTCTCAGGCTCATCACAGTACACAGTGAGCTGAATGGGTGACAGAAAGCGTGGAACTGGCAATAAATTCCAACAAAAAATAATATTATCATCAACCCCGATAATCAACGAATCGTCCCAAGTTGACCTATTATTATACTGTCACGGCTACCTGAGCTTATATTTATTACTTTCTAACTGAGAAATCTAGGTTATTTTACGTATCAGTGGCTGAGAGCCGTGTTATGGTGTGCCAATTGATGTTTTATGTCACCCACTTGCGATGGACGCTGTTTCCACTTCAGAGTTCCTACCTGCGTTCCATGAAGTCTCTTTCTAGGCTACTCCAATAGCGGATACTGAATTTTCAGGCTGCTGAGGTAGTGTTATTGGAAATGAGCCCATGACAGATCTCAATCTCGTGAAACACAGCATTACAAGGTTGTGATATGAACTTTACTAACCATATGTCCGATGATTTTTACATCAAAAAACCACCAAGGAGAGTTTCAGGTAAATAGGAACATCAAACCTTAAGAATACTTTAATTTTCCGCGAGAATTCCTTCAGCGACACAATCTGGCTGAGAACAATGTAATCATAAGTGTGTTTGAGTCAACTGCCAAAGAAAATAGTCAACTGGGGTGTGATTCCGACCTTCGCGAATTTGCCATGGGCATCATCCCAGTAAAACTACTTGATTATAAAATACCCAACCCACAACCCCTCGAAACGGATGCTTTCCGGTTCCGGTTCATCTCCCTTCTCACCGGTTGTAGGAGGCCACGGCGCTCTGTTCTGGACCTCGTCGTACTCGTCCCTAATCGTCACATTTTCATAGGCTCAACAGTCCTACTATGAGGATTGATATTGTAAAAGAATTCAACATCCGCTACCAATGAATATTCCAATTGGAAAAGAGAATCTCAAATTCTCGCCCCAACTGTTCCAGATCCCTCTACAACCCAAGCAATAGAGGCTTTGGATTTCGCTTCCTTGCTTAGGCCTGCAACGATGTTGTTCATAAGGCTTATTGTTTCGGTCGAAAATGTACATTGAGACTAATTTTTAGGACAGTCAAGAATACGTATCAAGCGAGATACGGTCAAACCGTCAGCCCAAATCAGACATTTAGACGATTGCCGTATTCATCGTGCCATCCAGTTCATGGACAGAGGTTGAGATAGCCCTCACTGGTACATACCATCTCGTGATAGCTATGAGGGCGCATAGACGAGTATCTTCTCACCCGTGCCCTGAACGATGTTGCATTTTACCAGCCCCTTTAGTGCCCTCTTGCTCTCCCTGATGGTAAGTCGCCCTGCAATCATTAGCACTTCGAGCTGGGAAGCCAAGCAGGGAATGCAGTACCGAGAGTAAAGAAAGGATGTGGCATCGTGCCAAACTTCTGCTCTATCGGCTCGTATACGCCGAGTGTATGGTTCAACCACTCATAGCTCTCCCTAGACGACATGATGTCCATTGAAGAATAGACTATAAGTGAAGTCCTCAAAAAAATCGCATAAACCATATATGAAGTCGTATGTAGAGGAAATCCCGCGTTCTACTTTTCGAATATAGCATAATTCGCTCCTCGGGACACGACGGGCAGCAATGTCCCGCGTTTAGGGTTATCACACCCAATATCTTGTTTCATTCACAGAACAGCTATGCGAGATTCGTAATGGCCATCGCTCATATCTCTGAACTTGTTTATTCTGTTGCAACGTCTTGGTTTGCATGATTGCAACAAAACCGTAGGCCTTCTTTGCCACCCTTGTCTCGTCATTGATGTTTAATTTCACTCTCAGAGCAATGGCAAATATGCGTGTTTTCCTTCTCTATAAGCTCCTGTTCAATGTGGTATAGCCTTTGGAAATTGATCACTCGAATAGGAGACAGGGCATGGTATGAATGTTGCCTGAGAGTCCATAATTCAATCCTTGTCATGGGAGATCATGGGAGAATCGATTGATGTGAACTTATACATCCACTATAGACCTCTTCTTCCTTCAGGATTGGTGCATCAAACTGAAGAATGATCTCAAGATCAGTTTCACACATTGAGAATCAGGATTGAAAACTTGGGTATAGAGTTATGGCTAGGATAGGAAAGAAGAGTTTATGTGAATAGACCTATTATATTTGGTCGTCCCATATCGGTTCATTTAATTCCTTTTCAGATAGGAACTGGCAGGCACTTCTCGCGCTCACCTTATGTTTGTACATCTACTTTCCCAGAAGAATTAAGACATTGCCATCACAAAAGTTATCCAGGTGAACAATTCTCAAGATGAATACAAACTGAATTACTAACCTATTTGTAACTACCATAGGACCAAACCCAGGCCTCTCTGTCAGTGCTAGAACGTGGCTTCGTCCACGAGTATAGCCAGCCAGATGCCCGCGCGTGGCGAATGTCTAGTAGATGCATATCATGCAAGGGGCGTATATGGCACGTGCAAGAATCCGAATCCCATTGAGCCAGAGAAGGAAATCATGACAATGCAAAGTATCTCTCCACCTGCTATAGATGGTGGCAGGAGCGGCAGCCCTGTCCATGTGTGGTGCTGCTTTATCAGCTTCTATGGAGACCGGTGCCAATCAATTAATAATCTGTCACGTGAGCGCGCGACGGCGTCGTCTCCACACTCATTAAGTGTCTGCATATCGGAAACGCGTTACCTCAAGATTCTCGGTATGCAGGTTAAAGTGAGCTTAAAGTGCAACGTGTGGAAATATGCGAACGGTTTCAAATGAAGAGACCAGCCGGACCTGCGTACATCCTAATCCCTCAAATCGACCAACATGTAGCATCAGGACGTATTTCACCTCAACCAACAGCATCACCACTCGGTATTACGAGTCCAGCGAGCCGAGACGTGGGGCACAGCACAACCAGCCCGGCTGATGCTAGAGTGATTCCGGGTCGCCCCATTGAGTCGTTGCCCTGCTGTTGTCGCGCTAAAAATTGGCGTCGCGCGTCGTGGACGCGACTTTTACCATAAGAACCTCTCCCACCGTGGAATTGGGGCAATTTCTCCTTCTCATCCTCCATCAACCACCATCACCACCAAACACGCCCACGCAGACTGCAACTTGACTACGCAGTTGTAACTCATCTCACTGTCTCTACTGCATTGAGATATACAGAGCGTTGATTGTTTGCACCGTGTCTATCATCTAGTCTGCCGCTTCTCCCGGCCGCCTCCCTACGTACACGTCGCCATCATGTATGTACGCAAGCGTGGTATGTTCCATCTCCCATTCCCTCGCCCTATCCTGCCATCGATTATCTAACCTCGATACAACAGATGGACGCCAGGAGCGTGTCCAGTTCGACAAGATCACTGCCCGTGTTTCAAGACTGTGTTACGGTCTCGATACCGAGCATGTTGATCCTGTTGCCATCACCCAGAAGGTCATCTCTGGCGTCTACGGAGGTGTGACTACCATTCAGCTCGATGATCTTGTAAGCATTCCCACCTGACTCAATGGCATTGTCATCATCTAATTCTTCGCAAACAGGCTGCCGAGACTGCTGCATACATGACCGTCACCCACCCCGACTACGCAATTCTGGCTGCCCGCATTGCCGTCTCAAACCTTCACAAGCAGACTAAGAAGCAATGGTCTTCTGTTGTCAGCGACCTTTACCACTATGTCAACCCCAGAAACAACAAGGCATCTCCCATGATTGCCCAAGAAACATACGAGTGCGTCATGCGTCACAAGGACGAGCTGGACTCTGCCATTGTCTATGACCGAGATTTCAACTATCAGTACTTCGGTTTCAAGACACTGGAGCGTTCCTATCTCCTCAAGCTCAACGGCAAGATCGTTGAGCGCCCACAACACATGATCATGCGTGTTTCTGTGGGTATTTGGGGTGATAACATTGAACGTGTCATCGAGACCTACAACTACATGTCCAACAAGTTCTTTACTCATGCTTCTCCCACTCTCTTCAATGCCGGTACCCCCCAGGCTCAGCTCTCATCATGCTTCCTTGTCGATATGAAGGATGACAGCATTGACGGTATCTACGATACTCTCAAGACCTGTGCCATGATCTCAAAGATGGCAGGAGGTATCGGTCTCAACGTTCACCGCATTCGTGCTACAGGCTCGTACATTGCCGGTACCAACGGCACATCCAATGGAATCATCCCCATGCTGCGAGTGTTCAACAACACTGCCAGATATGTTGATCAGGGTGGCAACAAGCGCCCCGGTGCCTTTGCTATTTATCTCGAGCCCTGGCACTCTGATGTCTTCGAGTTTCTGGACCTTCGAAAGAATCACGGAAAGGAAGAGATCCGTGCACGAGACCTGTTCCTGGCTCTGTGGATCCCTGATCTCTTCATGAAGCGCGTTGAGAAGAACGAGAACTGGACTCTCATGTGCCCTAACGAGTGCCCTGGCCTGGCTGACTGCTACGGCGAGGAGTTTGAGGCCCTATACGAGAAGTATGAGAAGGAGGGTCGTGGTCGTCAGACGATCCGTGCCCAGAAGCTGTGGTACTCGATCCTCGAAGCCCAAACCGAGACTGGTAACCCCTTCATGCTTTACAAGGATGCTTGCAACCGTAAGAGCAACCAGAAGAACCTGGGTACTATCCGCAGCTCCAATCTTTGCACTGAGATTATTGAATACTGCGCTCCCGATGAGGTTGCTGTTTGCAACCTGGCTTCGCTGGCTCTGCCCGCCTACGTTGATTACGACGAGGGCTGCTACAACTTCAAGAAGCTCCACGAAGTTACACGGGTTATCGTGCGTAACCTGAACCGTATCATCGATGTCAACTACTACCCCGTTCAGGAGGCACGCAACAGCAACATGCGTCATCGACCCATTGGTCTTGGTGTTCAGGGTCTTGCAGATGCATTCTTGGCTCTGCGCATGCCTTTCGAGTCGCCTGAGGCTCGTCAGCTGAACAAGCAGATCTTCGAGACAATCTACCATGCCGCCCTTACTGAGTCCATGGAACTCGCGAAGGAGCAAGGTCCCTACCAGACCTTCAAGGGATCCCCAGCTTCAGAGGGAATTCTTCAGTTCGACATGTGGAATGTCACCCCCTCTGACCTTTGGGAGTGGGAGACCCTTCGAGAACAGATCAAGGAGCACGGTATCCGTAACAGTCTGCTCGTGGCCCCTATGCCCACAGCCAGTACCTCTCAGATCTTGGGCAACAATGAATGCTTCGAGCCCTACACATCCAACATCTACTCCCGACGTGTTCTGGCTGGAGAGTTCCAGGTCGTCAACCCCTGGCTCTTGAAAGATCTTGTTGAGTTGGGCTTGTGGTCCGATGCCATGAAGAACCGAATTATTGCTGAACAAGGTTCGATCCAAAACATCCCCAACATCCCTGATGACCTCAAGGCCCTCTACAAGACCGTCTGGGAGATTTCTCAACGTCAAGTTGTGCAGATGGCCGCCGATCGAGGTGCTTTCATTGACCAATCTCAATCTCTCAACATCCATATGAAGGATCCCTCAATGGGCAAGATTACCAGTATGCACTTTGCTGGCTGGAAATTGGGACTCAAGACTGGCATGTACTATCTTCGTACTCAGGCTGCTGCGGCCCCTATTCAGTTCACTGTCGATCAGCAAGCTCTTAAGGTGGATGACAACACTGTCGCCAGGGACCGTCCGGTCAAGAAGCGAGGACCAGCCACCGGCGGCAGCTACATGTCCTCTCCATCTGCCGTTCCACGTGCAAACGTGCTCAAGGATGGTCCCAACGGCAACTCTATCTCAAACGGCGTGCCGACTCCTACCACCACGCCACCACCTGCCCTAACAGCGGGAAGCAAGTCCCTGCCCATCTCGTCCCCAAATAAGGTGGCTCCAATCAAAGCCGACGTCGATGAGGGTGACAGCCCAAGGGCCTTGCCAACCGAGCCAGCCGGCAAGGTTCAGGAGGAGGATCTTACAAACAAGGCCAGTCAGGACGAGGACAAGGGTGATGACAGTGAAGACCGTGAGCGTGACATTTACTCAGAGGCTGTCGTTGCTTGTAAGTGACTCAATCAATTCTTTTTAACGTAACTTTTCTAACTTTTCAATAGGCAGCATTGAGAACCCTGAGTCCTGCATCATGTGCAGTGGTTAAACCTGACCACCGCACTTGAGGACGATAAAGTTTACATATTAATGGCTGACGAGATGTGGATGATATTGGATGAGGTCTTGGCGGCTTGGCATGTGTGCAAACAATTCATGGCCTGCTCACTTTCCTTTGTTATGGTTGCACGAAATCATGTTGCCTGTCAGATGGCGCAGGGTCTATTAATGTCACTTGACCTTGGACACGCCGAAGTGAGGGCAAGGTGGGCTTCATTTGGGATGAATCATTTTCGGGTTTGCGCTGCACTTATGATTTAAAACAACAAATGTTGACATTCGCATGTCGACAAAATACCACATCGCACTAGAATTTATGAGTTGTATATTTAATTAAAAGCCAAAGCAGCCTGGTATCACGCTGCGACATTGCTACATATCACAAGGTTTCACTCAGGGCTTTTCTTTTCGCTTGTTCGGCCATGTCAAGTTGTACATTGCCCCATCGCGTAGTGAGTTGCGAACATGGTCCCGCATACAGGATGGGCTCCGGTGAGACGTTGAAATCGGTTTATTCTTCTCCCATCAGGGTGAGAAGAAGGATAGCTGGCTCGGCAGGCGCATGGATGTTTCGTATCCGGGTGAGAAGGATCTACAACTGTACACATCACAAGCTTCGTCCACGCACCTCGGCCACGCACTCGACATATTTCTTGCTTCCCGACCGCTTCGAACCACACACTGCTTTCAGTAGCGATTCCATCTTTCCATGCTATCAAGCTTGTTAGAGGGGAATTGATACAGTTTTTGACAAAGTCTAACTGTCTGCCAGATTCATACAAGTCGTCCAAGCAGTTGCGTCACCAGTGCGCGATCTATTGGATCGTGACTCATTCGAGAGTACAACCCCAATATAGATCTATTTCATGTTCAGGGGTAGTGAACTAATTTCCAAAGTAGACGGTGACGCCGGCTGGACAATACCAGCTGTGTACATCAACCAGGCAGAGACTGTGACAGGCCAAGTCGATGGCCTAGCAACACTTGAACGGATGGAGATTTAAATACAGCCAGGCATGTGGACAGTGTTAACACAGCAGGGAGGACACCTTAGTTCTCGTGGCGAAGGCAGCACACGGCCGCACACTATATCGTCCAGATGGTAAGATATCGGCCCGTGGGCCCCTTCCGACAGATTCGTAGGTCAAGCCGAAAGCACAAATCTTGCTACTTGAAACAGCCCAATAGGAGCCAATCGTCCCTGTAATCTTTTCTGTGAGCAGCCCGGGCTCTTTTGTATTTCGTGTAACTGCATCCGTAGCCTAGGTACAGAAAGAGTATTGCCCATGTGCGCAGGGGCGAAAACATATTGAAAGCTGGTCAAAGTCGCGGGATCTTTCCTCGCTGCTTATCGTAGACTCTCGTCTTTTGGACAGATTCATCGCTGGAACCGGCCAAATAGGACTTGTTCTTTTTTTTCATATTAACGCGAACTCGCGTACGTTTGATGTATCCTTTTCCCTTCTGGTCTCGTGTTCAGGTTCGTTGGAAAGGAAATTGACTCCAAAACGGAATGTGGTCCGCTCGGGAGCTTGTGAGGCTGTTCCAAGTTCTGATTGCTTTTGCATATCACGATAATCGCACACAGTCTGTTGAAGGCGGACGTGGCTGACGCCCGCGAACCCACGATTCCAGATCAGTGACGTTGTAAAACCAAACCATGTTGTTGCTCTACCAGAGAAGAGGCAAAAGAACTATTATTTGATCAAAACTCAGAGCTTTTTTAATAGGATTTGAGGCCTATCTGAACTTCGCTGTGAAACCTGTCAGTCAAAATTCGGGATGGCATCCCAGTAACCCATTTGCCTTGACTTCTCTGACAGATCTAAAATCGATAGCCCCGTGAGCCTTGAGAGGCCGCCATTTAACCCCAGCTGCTCTTGTTGAGCATGGATTTCTTTTATCCGGCCGGCTATAGCGACGCTAAATCGAATGTGATCAGGGGCCCCTTGGCTTATCGTCTAACAGGCTCAGGATGACTCCTAAGGTGAGAGAAGACCAACAGGCTACCGTTGCGTCACGCGGGGGTTGTGCGAAAATCTCCCGAATTCAATACATGTGTCTCTCATCTGTTATGCCATCCAAATTCAGATCTAGGTTTTTGCTGTCAGCTCTCGAATAGTGTATGGAGGTTAAGGTGGTCAGATCCATCGTTGACTCCTGAGTTGATCGATCCTATGCCTAGCCTTACGAACGAGTAATCGCGCTTCAGACTGGGCCTACACGTTGCTGTGCACCTAGATCCTAGAATAAATAGTAGGACTAGTAAATTTAATTTTATACCGAATGTGCATACTCAGTCGCTCTTGTGATCACTACTGGGGAAATGCATCCGTTCCGTATGGGTTACCCTATATCTCCATGGATATTTCATGGCAAACCACCAGCGATCATGAGGATGTGCAGTGGTTGTTAGTGTACCAGCCTCACCGTGATAGTCGGGGAAATCTAGTGGTCTTGCGAATGGAAATTGGACGCGATCCAAGTCGGAGGCCTCATTCCCACCAACAGTCCAATGCACAAGAGGCGGAGGCCAAAATCTTGTCAACCTTAGCTTGGAGGGTCTGGTTCTTGGCACTCAACTTTTTCGATCTTGATTAATGATCCATAGTATAAGAAGTTCCCCTGTTCACTATCATTGCATCGCCTTTAGAGGCTGGATTCTTTATGTCTCGGCCATTTCCATCCGTCCGCATGCCCAGGAAACGTGGCTGGGAAGCTTGACATGTCACTGGGCACCAAGATATCCGAAGAATCAGGCTGCTCAAGGCACATTACAAAGATCGCCCATTCTAGATGAGCACAATTGGCAAATAAGCGGTCGGCTACTCAGACCATCGTGACCTCATCATTGTGTTTCTCGGCAAGCAGTGTTGCAATGCGCGAGCGACGTGCACCCCCTGCTTAGTATCCCGAACCACAAGCTCATGCAGAACCCACCTTGTGCAGAATGGGCATTCCATCTGCGACCAAGCTCGATGGAGATTGAACGTGGGATCGTCCCTGAATGGCATTCTTGATTCTAAATCCCTTCTCGATCTACTAATGCTTTCTTCATCTTTCTTGACGTTTATATCTCCTTCGCATCTCTCGCTGGTGGGGATCGGCATCATTTGAGTGTTTAAGTGCCCAGCCACGAGGAAAACAGGTTCCATGTCCCTGGTACCCTGCACATCGACATGACAGAGCGCGCATCGATCTCTATGCAGATCGGCGGTGGCCAGCTGGACAGGCATGACAGGCGAGGCTAAGTGCCGACGCTATGCCTTGTTCTGGCCATTCAGGCAGCTCACCCCTGCCAAGCTGATTTGGAGAGCTGTCGACCTCATCAGCTCCCAGCGAGGCTTGAATATCACTCTGGTGCTGCTCCGACAAGAATCTTCGTCTGGTTGCTAGGTAGATGGACACAAGGAAAGAAAACAAACATTCTTCTCCAAAACAATTGACTTCATTTAGTTCTCCTTTAAGCTTCGGGTACCTTGTGCGCTGGGTGATTTGGCTAGAGGGTAACAGAAAACGGACTAGCATATCTCTGTTTCACTGGAAATGGTGTGTGACGGACGCCACCGCAACCCGAAAAGGCAGGACTCCACTTAGATTGGAAAGATCATGGAGAGAGGCTAAGGCAGGTGCGGATCACACCTCAACTGTCGTCATGTACTGCACACCTGCCTTGAAGTTGCTGGCAGGGGCTGAGGCCTTCCTCACTTTCTTCTCACAATGGATGGCAGCGAGGGAAGGCACCTAGGGAGCTAGCTCGGCAGGTGAGAGGTAGGTGAGGTGGACCGCGTAGGTAGGCATAAACAGGCAGGCAGAATCGCCCAAGCAACGCGCACCGCCTTCCGTTTCACCTTAAAACCAAACCTCTGCCAACAACCGCCTCCCTCTCACAGCTTTCTCTCCTTCCAACCAACTTCGTGTTCACAAACACCTACTTGCCTGCTACTTCCCTCTCTGCAACACCCCCATCCCTCGCCTTTCGTGCACTCAATCCTTCAGTGTTCAATCACTCCAACCTGTAAGTCGTCCTCGTTCTGTGATTATTCCAACTTCCCTGTGAGAGCTGTCATCGCACGCGCGGAACAACACGTCCCTCAGGCTTGTGCTCTCGGGGAAGCCCAGGCGAGACTTGGAGAACCCAAAGCACCAAGGGAGATGTGTGCCTGTTTCCGTTGATACACAACTGTACTCTCACGTCCACATCCACCCATCTTCACTTCGGCCATTCTCATTTCTCGTGGTTGGACAAGTTGTGGCGATTGCCTGACACGAGAATTGTTGATTGTCCGAGGCGTAGGCGGCCGCACCTTTACTTATTCTTTCAAGACCCTGCCTGCCCAACCACGGTTTTCAATCCCGGACCGTAAACTCTCTCATCCTTGTTCACAAATTGTTTGCAGCTCAGGTCGTCACCTTCTTTCCTTCCTTTCCATATTACATTCGCTCAATTAATACCTCTGCTTCCCTCCGCTTCCCGACCCGATTGTCTAACTAATCTTTGCTCTAGCAATCAACATGAAGGCCATTCTTGCCACCATCGGCGCCTTCGCTACGCTGGCCCTTGCCCAGGACATCTCTGGCCTTCCCCAATGCGGAGTAAGTCGACATACAATACTTCTTTGACAATGCTGTCGGCTAAATCATTCAAAATAGCAAATCTGCGCTACTTCTATGTGGGGAGCAGCAAAGGCCGAAGAATTGGGCTGCAGCGCCAATGATCTTGTGTGCCTTTGCAAGAACAAGAACTTCCTCTTCGGTATTCGTGACTGCTCTGCTGCTACTTGCAGCTCAGACGATGCCCGAAAGATGGTCGAGTTCGGTCTGCAGGCCTGTCGCGGTAAGTCTCATTTGAGAGTGTTTCCAAAATGAAGCTAACTCGTGGTGAAGATGTCGGAGTTCAAATCACGGATGGTGGTAACCAGAGCGGTACTTCCGCTGCCAACCCCTCTGCTTCTTCGGTGCGTAATGAGTCCTCATCAAATACGATTTATGACAAAATACTAACGCGAGATGGTCTACCTTAAAGGATACCAATCAATCTGGAGCTTCCGTAAGTGCCAGACTCAAGAAGATATACGATAAACAAGGCTAATAGAAGTATGACAGGCCTCGACTATCTTTTCTACCGTTACCACTGGCTCTGGGACCGTTGTCGCTCCAGTCTCCACCACGACTTTTGGCAATTCTGCTTCCAACACTGCAGTTGCCCCAGGGACCAATGGTGGCCTCGTGAGTACCGTTACGAGTGGTGAGAGTACCTTTGTCGTCACACTCTCCACCGATTCAACTGCCGCGGCTTCTGAAACCGAGAGCGGTTCTGAATCTTCGCAGGCTACTGACGCAACCACCGCCACTGAGGGTGCTCCTTCAAGCACGGAGTCTGGTGGCGCTGTAAGAATCCTGTTTCTGATCTGTAATAGCTTTCAGCTAATATCTTCAATAGGCAATGCCCCAGCAAACTCTGGCCCCTGCAGCAATCCTGGGTGCAGGTCTTGCCGCCCTTCTTCTCTAAACAAGCGAAGTCGGTCGCCCGGGAAGTGTACTTGATGATCTCTTGCACATTTTTTCTTCTCTTCTTCAGACTTGTCCGATAAAAATCCTCGTGGCCTCGATCTTTTGGCAATGAATCAACATTTACTGTTAGCGGCACAGATGCCGGCAGAAAATGATATTGACAAAGGAAAAAAAAAAGTAACGATCTAATAAGAGCGGCAACTTGGAATGGACAAGACTGGTATTTTTGGGTGCTCGGGCGACTTCTTTCGATTGGTCGCTCGTCGCAGTCACTCATGCATCAATGGATTTGGAGCTTGGTGGTTTTAATGTTTTGACATGTGCACAAGAGGTTTAATGAGCTGGTGGAAATTCATGAAATTCAGGCACGAAGTAATGGTACTAGGGTAGAGAACCTGTGGTGGGTTCCGACAGGAGGAACTGTACCTACCAAGACCATACTTTAGCTAGCATAGAAGGAATTCTCACAGTAATGACACAGCATTTTTACGATTTCATTCGGAATATCTCCTTGGTTGTACGAATCATGACACTGGCTAATTCATTCGCATGATACGATACTATTTTGTAGGCGGATCTCTGACTAGGGAGGTCACCCCAAACAGGGCCAGTCATCACGGCAATTACTAACGCACACTGGGCGAGGAAGACGAATTTATAGAACCAGAAGGACATGTATTTCTCAACAACTGCTAAACAAACTGACTAACCACTCATAAAAGGAGGTCTGAACCAAATTCCAACATTATCCATCATGATGCTAACCGTGTAACGCCGGCGTTGCGCTATGCTTTATGTAAAAAAATCTTTCACGAAGAGGAGGAGGAAGAACAACGCTCAGTGCATCATTGACTTTCCAATCTCGCTCCTCCAGTCCTTGGCCCGCTCGAAACCGTTGGCGTGGGACTGGTAGTCGGAGAGAGCTTGATAGACCTGGTCCTTGCTGGTGAGGACGAAGGGACCGTACTGGACCACTGGCTGGTCAAGCGGGGTCCCGGCAATGATCACTGTTCCGAAAAGAGTCAGCATGTGTCTTGAATATTATATCAGTAAAAGGGAAATAATAGGGGAATTACGTACCCAACCGGGAAGGCTTAGTTGCGTTGGCGTCAGCCTCGACGTGGACAACATCGCCCTCGGAGCCGAAGACGGTGAGGTTGTACTGCTCCACCTTCCTGCGGTCGTCGCCCTCGCCGAAGTAGACGTCGCCCTCGAGGACGTAGGAGAAGGCGCTCCAGTTCTGCGGCAGGGGCTGGGTGACCTTGGCGCCCGGGCGGAGCTCGATGTCGATGATCCAGACGGGGGTGTAGGCGAGGTCCTTGACCGAGTCGATGCCGTGGCTCTGGCCCGAGATGACCTTGATGGTGGCCTTGCCGTCGTCGACCTCGACCTGGGGGATCTCGGCGGCGCGGAGGTCGCGGTAGCGCGGCTCGCACGCCTTGAGGTCCGCGGGGAGGTCGACCCAGAGCTGGAGGCCGACGTTGGCGCTGCCGTCTGGGTTCTGGCGGGGCATCTCGGCGTGGACGATGCCGCGGCCGGCGGTCATGAACTGCAGGTCGCCGGGGCCCAGGGTGCCCTTGTTGCCGGCGAAGTCCTCGTGGTCGACGCCGCCCTGGAGGAGGTAGGTGATGGTCTCCTGTCCACGGTGGGGGCTGCGTTTTCAAATGTTAGCTGGCTGGCTGTGGATAAAAAAGGAAGTGAATTTGGAGGCAACATACTGGTCGGGGAATCCAGCGCCGGGCTTGATTGAGAAGTGGTCGAGCATCAGGAAAGGCGAGAAGTTGCGGAGGTTCGGGGTGCCGATGGATCGGCGCACACGGGCACCGGCGCCCTCGGCCTGCTCAATGGCCAGGAAGACCTTCTTGATAGCACGAGACACGGACATTTCGGTGACTATGAGGTGTTCTTGGGGTCCTTGTGGAATATTTGGGTGAAGCGAAGCTTGCGCGGGCTGCTGCTGGCTGACTGGAGACGTTGTTGCAGTGTTGGTCTGCCTGAGTACTAGCTCAATTGCTGTATTGGCAAAGTCAAGTAGTCGATGCTGGAAGAGGAATATCGATGCAATGCCAATGAAGATGGTAGTGAGTCCGAAAAAGGTTCTCATCGAGGGCTCTTGGGACCAGCTGTTGATTCTTATACTTGGATGTCGACTGAATGGAATCAAACGGAAGCTCCTGGAGGGACATCACAGCTTCTTGTAGTCTCAAGTCAGCCTTCAATAGATCCAGCTCCATGCCCGACGGGACGGGGCCATAGGCCGTAGCTGTATTAGCAAATGACGAGAGGGGCATTTGATTTTGCGCTTCGCGTTGGCGGGGGATTTGTCAAAGTTACATCAGCACCTCCGGCTGGGGAATTGGCCAATCAGCGGGGAGAACGTTCCCCAGCTTGGGATTTCCTCAGCATGACTGATAGTTTCGCGCGCGGCGAGCTCGGGCGTTTATACTGATTATGAGGAAATGAATGAGCATCGGTTATCCGTATTTCCAGAAGCTTTCCAAAGACCAATCGTGTAATCACAATTTTGCTGTCGCACTGAGTTTTCAGATCTTTAAATTCAACTTGCGCGTCGCCAAGAACGTCTGAGTGACGTCATTCTCAAAGAATACTTTCGCTTGCGGTACCTCTCCACATGATAAAAACTGAAAGGTACCACGGTGATTTGTTCCTGGTCTTTTGATCCTTCAAGAGCTCCAGCCTTTGCATGTTAAGAAAGTAGAGCGCAAACTGACTACGCTCCTTATGAATAACTAGATTCTCAACTCTCAATTCACACAGGTATCTCGAAATAGTCAGTAAGTGAAAGAGGGTTTTTTTCATCATCAAACATATCTAGAAACGGGATCTAAGTGCAGAGAACCATATGCTGTTCGCACGACAGTGAGGGCTTGTTTGGTGTCATGTTGAGTCGCCGCTCGGGTCCGTCCACAGGTCCGCCGGGGTTCCGCTCAAGTTATATCCTTGACAGAACGTAGCTTGGAGATTTGGATTTTGTGGCTGTTCATGTCGATTCCAAGCTGTTTGCAACACGAGCTGGGCAGAGCAGGCCAGTCGTCACGAGCTCAGACTCCATAGTAAGGATGGTTGCAAACGCAACTTGCAAAGCACAGAAAGAAAATCAACCTAGTATTTCCCAGCGTCTGATCAAGGCTCTGCTTTTTAATTTACACATTACCGGTCGACCTCAGTTCTTTCCTAACGTCAACAAGTCGGCCAGCGAGACAAACAAGGGAGCAGACCATAGCAGCGTGCTGCATACATGAACAAGGCCGCGCAGAGAAAACACGATAGCAATAAAAACCAAGAATAGTACCCGCATGAGATGGATGATGAAGGAAAAGACTCAAGGATGGCAAGGGTATATACATGTACCGGGGGAAGAAGTCATTTTGAAAAACCGTCGGGGTCGTTTAGAGCAATCAAGGCTCCAAATTGTAGTGAAATTATCCAATTGATCGTCGCCTTACTGGTTGACTTTTTCGTTCACAGCTTGGGAGGCCTCGGCCTTCTTAGCAGTGAGGAAGCTGCTAATCCAGCCGAGGGTCTCGTTGCTCACCACCAGAGCAGTGGTGACAGCCGCTTTGCCCTGGGCGATGAGGCCCTTCTGCTCAATCTTCTTGATCTCGCTCGAGTAAACCTCGAGAACGTGATCCTTACCCTCGAGACCCTTGTTGTAAGGGAAGAGGATCAGAGACTTGGTATCATTGTAGAGCTCGGCGGTAGGTTTCTTGACAACGGGGAATCGCTCGTCAATCTTGTCGAGGGTCTTGTCGCCAAAGGTATCGGCATGCGCAACGTATGGCGAGACGTACTGGTAAGGACCGGCAAGCCAAGGAAGGACAGGAGCGGCGAAAGTCTTGTAGGCTGAGTCGCCGAGCTTGATAGATCGCTGGCCGTACTCGTTGGACTGGAAGGTGTGAACACCGTCGCTAATAAGAGGATATTCCAAGAGATGCTATGCTCTGTTAGTCCCAAAGTATTGTCATTACGAGGATTCCTGGGACATACCTGAATGAAAGCAGAGGCAGAGGAGGCGTTGGGGATGTCGCCGTTGACTTGTGTGTTGGACATATTGGATAGTGGGTGAGAGGTTCGTCGTATTGGGGAGCGGAGAAAGGGCTAGTATTGCTTATGGTGTGCTGGTCACACAGATAGAGCAGACAGTGTGAGAGGAAGCAGAGGGGTGGTGTCGCGCAAACCCAGAGACAGACAGACGGCAGGCCAAGAGGCGATAGTAAGAGAGATGGAGATGGTGAGGGTGAGGGAAAACGACGGCGGGAGAGATAGCCAAGTGAGTTGGTGAGGAGGGCAGAGATAGGGTGGTAGTGGAATGGCAGCAGTCCAAGAGGAGATATTAAGTTCGATAGAGACAGAAGAGAAGGAAGGGAGGGACGAAGAAGGTGTATGTGGACGCGACAAGGCTAAAAAAGGGTCAGGGACGGGAATGGCAGCCGGGGGGTGAGCAGGGCGATTGTATGAGGTGGCTCGAGGGGTGTGCGCCACGAGATCGATTTGCATATGATTGTACCTACCTTACGTAGAGGATGGAAAGGTTCCCTCCTGGTCGTTTTCCTACCTGCCAATTAATGGATAAAGCTGCCTACGTAACATTCGCCTCCTTCTTCTCCCATACATTACGCCGGTTGGCGCAGAATGATGAATAGCTAGGAACCTTGCACGCAGGTGGGAAGACGGAGTCACAGTTTGGAAGAAGTTGGCGATGAACGGCAGGGAGAAAAGCATGTGCTTATGCTGGGGGGTAGAACAGGGCGATACATACCTACCCACTACCGCTCCCGGGTGGGGGCAGCTACAAGATTAGCTAGCTTCAGAAGCTGTTGCAACCAGCTATCAGGACGGGCAAGCTTGTGACGATGGACGGAGCAAGTCGGTTGGGCCGGAATTGCGAACGGACAGACGCCATGAGCTTTCCATCCAACGGGCTGCAAGGAAGCTAGTAGGCATAGCCTGAGGAGCCTGGCGTTGCATCCCATCGAATTACCCATCACGTCGAGGGTCTCTCGAGTCCACCCTCGTAGTTTTTCTCTGATTGTCGCAGGGTCCTTGTGGAATGTGTCTCGCCTGTCTGACATGTGAAAGTCGATGCGATGTCACGCCACAGAAAAGGTGGGGCTGCCAAGAGCGCAAAAACGGCCTGAGCTTGCACCATACCATTCCATTAGGCATTGAGTTCGGGTGATAGGATAGGTCTATTGCTTGAGAGACTGGGACGATCGGTCGCTTTGCTGTCAACGTAGGTGTTTTCCTCAAGCTACGATAAGATAGGAATGCCATCCCGCGAGTGTATACAGATGAGCAAGAGGCGGGAGAGGAGGCGAGCTGATTAGCAGCGCGCACATATCTAGCATCCGTTTTGCTATCAGAAGAGTTGGGTGATGACGATCTGACAGCGCTATCTCAGCGGGCAGGAGCTTCCCTTCCAGGTCCCAGGGCTCCAGGCGCCAGGCTCAGGCGCAGGAAGGTACGTCCTCAGGTACATCGACACTAGCAGAGACCCACCCGATAGCACCGCAGGAGCCATCTGAATCTTATCTCTTCCATGGAATTGAGCAGTTGCGTAAGCATTGGGCAATCGTGAGCGACCGATGATAGAAACACTGTTTAATTATGGAGATGAGTTCCTTGCGTTCAATGAAAGCACATGCCTCCAGCTACTCTTACTGGCCTGCCTAGGCACCCAGTCGACACGGAGGCCCGCCAGACACGATACGATACCGCTGATTCATTCCCAGCAGCCGGTTACGCTCAAGGAGGGGCCACCGCGTTTCACCCACACATCATCAATCCTTGCGATGCAGTGCAATCCCAACTTGAACAGTCCATATCGCAGCACTATCGACACCTCGCCTGTCTGCCTATCCAGCATGCATCTGGTCTACATGCACGGCATCGCATCAGGCGAATCTGCCTGTAGCCTACAACATAGCACCTTGTTAGCGCCATTCTTGGAGAGCTAAGTGGTGTGGTGACATTGATTTATGTGCCAATCCGCCGTTGTTGAGGACCTCCCCTATCATCAGCGCAGATAAAACCCCGGCATTCCTATGCATTCAACAAACTCTATTCGTCGCGACGTAGCCGACCAAAGCTCGGTTCAATTCTCCCGTGGCAAATGGCCTCGGAGCTGCCAACTGCCTGGCCAAGGAATTCGCCCTTGCCGACTAAATAAATTATCGCTATAAGCTCGAATTTAAGCCTCATGATCATCCAGGGTTTTCTTTTTTAATTGGGACCCTCAAAACCTGGAAGAAAATGCTTGGCCTGATCCGTATTGAGGATCCCAGCGCTATCAACCGGACCGGGCACTCGGATCACAGAAGCAAGGGTCGAGGTTCGGGGAAAACCACCCGTGCATGGCCTTACTTACTAGCCACATTCACATGCCAAACGCAGCATACAACACATGTCGCTCAAGCCTACACATCATGCACCAAAGGAAGCATTGCAGAAGGGGCACGACAAGGTGCAAGTACAAGCTGGGATCTCTACCTGTTTGCGCACCAATCCAGGCTACAAATCAGATGTACTGTGACCGCGCGGCCCTTCTTCCGGAACTCTTCATCCTAGGAGGAAATGCCTGCCTCATGCACGGCCATGTTGTCCAACACCTTCTTCTCATTCGCCAATGGCGTAGTGGTGCGAGCCTCCGCCCCAGCTTTGGTGCTGATCACACCATCCATCGTTCTAGATGATAGCTACGCAGATTGGGCGAAGGAAGTGTGGCATGTGCTTGCCTCAAGCTGTGGTGAGCCGAAGTGATCTTTCGGCCGAGTAATATATCCTCCGCTTAGACGTACGGAGTAGTCAGTGCATGCCCGTCTTTCCAATTAGTGTCGAAGGCAATGGCCGTTCTGGGTGATAACAGACCCAAAGCTCATCTTGGCTTTCCTTGGGTGACCAACCATCACATGTGGCAGGTTTATCGACAACGCACAAAAATCCCAACTGTGCAGATGCAACGTGCCTACGTTGGCGCCTGAGTGGATATGAATGGTGTGTTTGCTCTTATGTGCTCTCAATACTGGCTTGTTGTCTCCCCTCCGTCCATTCTATCACCATCCTTTCCATGGTACCCACCCCTCCCTTACCACATCATTTTCGTCCACAACGAAATACACATGAGCTGCAGCTGCCGTCATACAGGTATGATTGACATACAGTGTGATTTTCTTCCCAACCTCAAGAACATCTCCTACCGATTCAGTGACCCCACCTTTACCCTCCGGTATGCCCAAGATCCCATGCTCCTGTGATAGGCGGACAACAGACCAGGAGGGGTGCTCAACAACTTTTCCAAACCCTGGATAGGCACTGGTCTCACGGGAAAGAGCAATTACGCCTGCATTTATGAGCGCTTCGTTCCGTTCCGGATAGATACTGCAGACCTCAGCGGCTAAACGAACTGCTTGGTCCATCTCCGACACAAGTCCCGTTGATACTTGCTGAAGGTCGTTGCAGGGGAAGTTGCCTATTACATCGGGACATGTCTTCGTCAGCCACACAGAAGCATAATTCTCTTGTTTCACTCGCTAAGAACAAGGGTCTTGATTTGTCTTCTCGGCTAGTTCGACAGGCTATAGGTCAGGGTGGGCGATGACACTCACCTGCATGTAATTCCAACTTGACGTTGGCAGGAGCCAGGGCCTTCAGGCTCTGAACCACATGAGCCGTGGGGGTTGAACCGATAGATACAATGAGCTCACGGTCATCTGGCAGAAGCTTCGCTGCATCGAGTGCACTGCTGAGCTCGAGCCCAAGGGCGTCCTCGGCCTGGCCGCGCGAGCGGCCGCCGTATGAGTGGCCGGCATGGCAGTAGAATCCATGTATCCTTACCGCCGAAGACGCCTCAGCTCTCTCCACCAGGCGATTCAGTGATGAGCTACTATACATGACACCCGCGCGGTGCGTGCCAACGTCCAGCTTGATGAAGACGTCCCAAGGGTTGTCAAACCCGGCTTTCTCCAGGGCCGTGACTTGCTGCTCGCAGTCTACCATCAGGAGAATTCGGATTGACGCCCGCAGCTCTGCAAGTCGTGGGATGATGCCAGGATAAACCGGCAACCCATAGATGCACTGTCACCAAGTCAGGGGGTGGGGGAGATACTTTTGAGTTGCAGTATGGGGACTGCATGCCGGAACTTTTATCCTGCATTTCAAACTTACCTCATCAAGTATACCCTCTTTAACCAACGGCAGAGCTCCGTGGATCTCACACAGGGTCGAAGCAACAATCGACCTATACTTCCCCTCTGCAAGCATCATTCGTGTCAATTCCAACGACTATTTGTTTCCCAGACGACCATCTCATTAGCCAAGCTCATCATTGGTTTAATTATCCATATCCACACATGTGTCAAGTTCCTTCACCGGGGGGTATCTCTCACCTTTAATGTTTTGATATGAGGCCTGAAACCAATTCCGAGTTTCTCGACATCGTCGTGTAATGCCTTGATATTTCGTTTGATCAGAGGCAAGCTGACAACAAGCGCCGGAGTTGGTAGTTCTGAGATGTGCCGTCCAATGTAGGCCTTGTAGTTTTCTTGTGCGTAATCCATGATATCTGGCCTTCTGTTTCAAACAGCAGTTGTTATGAAGCAAGAGAGTATATCAAGCAGAGGTTCAGGATTAGGTAACTTTCTCTCGTCATGAACGACGTTTCTAGTTTCCCACTACAGGTAGCCCTTGTTTTGTCTCCTTTGCTGAGTCTCGGGTTGAATAGCCAGGTTTTGTACAAAGATGGCTCGTGGCCCGCATCTGTGTCCGGGAACACCGAGACCGGAAGACCCCACTGCTTTGGCACCACGGCATGCTAGATAATTGGTTGGAAGACAGTTTTGGGTGCCGAGAATAAGTTTACATAAGAGGGGGGATAAACAGCTTTGGTTCATGTTATCATATACCCAAGTAATATCAACCAGAGCCCCAATAGAGTCATCCAGACTACGATAGATATCTCGCATCGTATCTCATACGGTGGCAACTTTACTCATCCGCATCCCAATCGCAAAAAAAGGAACTACGAAATAAAGTACGGTCTTGCCTTGTCAAGGAATAACATCAACTGCTGCTTCCCCCGAGTGGGTGACAGGAGAAATGCGACACCTAAGGGAAGAGTGGTTAGAAATATACTACTTTCTACAACAAATAGAGAAATTTAGCAGTACTAAATTAAATGTAATGGCACTATATACTGTATAATCTCTGAATTAGTAGTATTATTTATTAGCACTTAATAATCTGAAAATACCGGTCAGAAACTCGAAAATATTGTTTGTGTGTCTCAATTTCTATGTCACCCATGTGTCCCCTTATGCAGCCCTCCGAGAAGCAGATGGTAAGAATGTACAGACATCAAAGCGGCAATACTAGTTGCAAGAGAGTTCGATTACTGTTCTACGGCAACCCAAAGGACAGCGGTAAACACTGAGAACTAGCAAAAGCCTCATCGCCCCCGCCGACGGCGACTGGAATGCAGTTCCGCCTCCGAAGCCCAGACTCTCACAGGCTCTCTCCCATTGCCAGTTGCCTTCGCCCATCAGGTTGATCGATCGATTGATTCTCAATTGGCCTTTGTTCGGCGCCCTTGGACCCGCCATCGGAGAGAGGTACTTCGGCACCACCGCCGGTCCCTCTCCCCCGTAGGAAGACTCGAACCGGCCGCAGCATCTCTACCTAGAACCGGGTCCTGCGGGCCAGCCGTCCCTACCATGAGTGGCGGCTGATGCACAGTCTGGTCCAGTCTCGTGCGTGAGGCCCTCAGCTCGATGGCCATTGACGAAAGACTCGGCCTCTACCGGGATGGCAGTGAGAGTGTCGGGGTTGCCAAAGGACGATTCTGAGCATTTAAGCAGCGCGTACCCTTCGTAGTTCGAGAGTAAGATCGTAATTCACAAGAATCATATCCCATCTTCTTTTCTTTAAAGTAGTGTGTCGTCAATTACTTTCGTTTCTTCTTCTTTTCGGTTACGTCTCTCCAACTGACGGCGACTTGATATCCGCTCTTTCACCATCAAACCAAGCTCAACTTTCTAGGAAGAAACAACCAACGCCGCATCTTTATCCTCACAGCAACGAGACTGAAACTAAGGATCTCTTACTATCAGCAGAAGCTATACTTATCAGTAGCACTATCAAATTTCTGTGTATTAGCACGTCTACTACTGTGAAGATGGTTATCGTACAGAGATACAGAGTGTTAATCCTCGAGTGTGATGCCACTCCCCAACCTATTGTGAGAGTACGGGGCACCTGGGGCGATATTTTCGAACAGTTTATGCGTGACGGCCTCGACCGATACCGCCAGCAAAACCCCACGGATTGGAAAATCCGCCTCGAGGTCACCCGGTCCAACATGCTGGAGATGGGACCGCTACCTGGAAAGGACGAGATTGATTGTGTCTTGGTTTCCGGAAGCAGTAAGGATATGACACCTACCTTTTGGTCGTTCTGAATATGCTCTAACACGTACTTTTCGTAGCAGAACATGACGCTTCTGGAGACTCGGCGTGGACTCTCCGGGTGGTTGAATACCTCCGTCACCTGTATTCGAACTCGAACGTCGCATTGATCGGCTTCTGCTTCGGCCATCAGCTCATCGGCCGCGCCCTTGGCATGCAGCCCCGGAGAAACCCAAATGGCTGGGAGCTCTCCCTCTGCGACGTCAGCCTTGGAGAGGCCGGGAGCAGGCTGTTCGGCCGCGAAACTCTGGTAAGCTCGATTTCTCCCCTCCATCCAGCCTCTTTTTTGTATCACCGTGGCTAATCTAGATATTTTCCTCCCTTCCCGCAGCCATTGCATTTATTGCACCGGGACATGCTCCCCGCGTCCGCACCCCCGGGCGTCGAGCTGCTGGGCGGCAGCGACCTCTGCCCGAACCAGGGCTTGTACGTGCCGGGACGCCTCCTGACGCTGCAGGCGCACCCGGAGTTCGACGCCTTCGTCATGAACTACTCGCTCAACTGGCGGTGTGAGCAGGACGTGATCGGGAGGGACCAGTGGAGGAGGGGGCTCGACGTCTGCGGGCTCGAGCATGCGGGTGGTCTTGTCTCGGAAGTGGTTTGGAGGGTCCTCCTCGGGGGCGACTGCTGAGCCGCGACATTCATCCCTTGGCTTCGGGGATCGCGCAGACTCTTTTCTTTCTTTCTCTTGTGATCCATTGTATTATAGTGTAATATGAAGTGCATGGCGATTGGAGGGGGCGTATCAATATCGGATGCTGAGTTGGTCATTGAGATCAGCTCGTGTAACACCCAGTGAACTAAGATTATTACACCGACTGAAGAGTCTTAACTAAACACACCCGAAAACTACGAAAATTTAAAAAGCCCGAAGGATCTGAAACACTCAGCTGCCCCTCCGAGAAAGCTTATTGTAGTTGCGTGAATTGGCCTCTGTTTTATATTCTGTTTTATATCAAATCGTCGTGCCTCATTATCAGGGACTCAACTCCCGGGTAGGCGGCAGCAGGAACAAGCACCAGATCATCGACGAACCTGTCATTTCTACTAGTGAGGCAGTAGGGTTTGGTATGCAAGTATGCGGTCGCATTTATTAGATCGAACAAGGGGCCAAGAGGGGATCAGCGTCGAAGAGACCGAGTGGTCAATGAGAAGAGAACATTCTACAACGCGTAATCTTAGCAGCGGTTCAGGGCGGGACGATTGGCTGAGACATGATGCAGGCCAGACACTTCGGTTCGACCAGAGAGAAACATTCAGCGGGATTAGGTCGACAGGGTCTTGCTTAATTTACAATTGTGGTCTGCACGTTAACCCATGGGAACCGCGCAGCCTCAACCAGGCGCCCTGTCAGCACTATTACTTACATGATATCGAGATTTTAAACTAAACATGGCTCCATAGGCCAAGGCAAGTGATCTTATGGCCCTGGCTCGCTCACCGAACGTCCCCTAGCGAGGGAAACGTAGAACACTCACCGCAGCTGGTCCCGAGCTTCATACTCAGATTGGCTCGCTACCAGGAAAGGGTAGCTGTACATTAGCGTTGGCAATGAGTGATCAGGATCAGGAACCAGTGGGGCCAGGATAGACCGGTCCCACGCGGAAATCGCGATTGGTAAATGCTCTGCCCAAGGAATTGGCCTGTTGACATCCACACGAGCTCAAAGGAACTGGGGTGATGTCTGTTGCCTTCGGTTTAGGCTGAAAGAGACTTTGGTTGGAGATCAAACAGTGTGCCCAAGTGGTGGATCACTCGCCGCCGCTCGGTGGAGGGAAAGACAAGCAATTTGCGTCTCTTGGTTTCTTCAATGTCCCAGCTGCCGCTTCTCGCTCTGTCAAACCTGACAGAGAAACGATAATGCCAGGCAGGGAGGCGGATGTGGCTGGCCCAGTGGCGCTGAGCCACTCGGGTCCTGTCTCCTATTTCCTCACCTAATCCTGGTTATTGCCGCACAGAGGCGATAGAGCCAGGGGCGGCTTAAGTCCACAATTGAACACCAGGCTGTTGGGTCAAAGAACGGCTTGGGGAGCAGGTGTGGTGGCCAGGATCCGTTTAATTAACACGGTTTGATGACCAGGGCTCGACGAACCAACCGGGGTCGAGGATATTGGCTCGAGAATAAAAATTTTATTCAAATCCTTGACTTCAAATACCAGTTGTTGTTCCAGTTATTGATGTCAGCATGAGGAGCCGGATCGAAGACAAATGGCTGGCCTGTCATGCTTTGCTTAATTAAGTGCAACAGGATCGCGCGCGTATAATACGAGGCATTCCTCAAGCCACTATGTATCTGTAATCATGCGTTGGTATGAGATAGGAGCGATTTGCATGCCCCGGGGTATTGCAGGAAGGCCACAGTTATGTAGGTGCTGGTGACGAAAGGTAAAAAACAGGGCAGCACCATGTTCCGGCAGGCTGCATGTTTGAGCAACTGAGCTGAACGATTGGATTGGGAGGGCGATGTGATACTGTGTATGTAAGTCAGCACCCAGTATGCATGCAGTATGTAGGGGAAATGTGAAACACCCGCGTGATGGTGTCCGGGCTGCAGATGCACGTACCAGGGAGAGAAGACGTCGTGCTACCTACTAATGCTACGGAGTGCGTAGTATTGCGCCTTGTTGGCAAGACACCATGTAGCCCGAGCCAGAATATCTCTCACCCGTTTTTGGCGAAGGGCCGGCTACCGTGTTATTAGGTAGGATGAATAGCTGTGCTCGAGACTTGTGCGAATGTTGATAGCAATAAGGTTCGCGTCCAGATGGAGCAAGGGCTCAAAGCACTAGAAGCAAACCGGACTGGGCTGGGGATGAAGATGGAGGTTTGTTGGTGGAGTCGCAAAAAATACGGACCAGGGAGCTGAGCTACGGCGACGGCCAGGTCCAGGGTGGCTCATGTCCTCCCGAGGAAAGTCTCGCCGTGGTTGCGTGGTCATGAGGAGCGAGACTCAGGTCAGTCCACAAGTGGCTGGCAGATATTATTATCATTGGAATCCGTGATTGTGATTACAGCAAGGCCATGATGATTCGGTGGACAGGCATTGAACGCCCGTAGTCTGAAGTGCGCGCGGCAAACCCAGCAACCCAGTACCTTGGTAAATGGTCTATGTAGTGGCAATGACGGTAGCGGGGGGAAGCTCTGATTAGGTGACAGGGCTACGAGATGACACTCCGTAGTGATCTGCCATCACTATTCCACACTGAGGCTTCACTAGGCCAATGCACAATTGATTAGCCTGTAATCCATACTGTACCCATCTCGGTCCTCTTTGCAAAGCGTTGGCATGCGAGCATCCCGATCGCCTATTCGTCCCGGAATCATATATCCATAAGCAAGCCCAGCCCGGGGCAGGCAGAGGACCGACAGTGACCAACCCACACCACGCCTGGGCTGGCATAATTATCATGGTGAGAGAGGTAATATTTGCCGGCCTTGGATGGGTCCGTCTGCACCGTGTGGTGGGAAGCACAGAAGAGACTCAATCGCACCGGCGGGTGGGTGCAGAAACAACCGTTGGAGCACTACAGAGACTAGCCTCAACGAATGAGCATCTTGCATGTTTGCTTTTTCTTGCCCATCCTTCCACTAATGCAACGCAGTGATGCAAAGCAACACAATCCTCGGTCTCGCCATCACACACCAGGGATTGCGTCGTGGCCGTGGACCGGGGCTCAGGCAGGCAATACCGTCGTCGCTGGATGAATGCTCCTGGCCAGAGGCGATTGTCAGCAAATTTCTTGGGTTGGGGCCACCAGTTTGTCAGTGGACGATCAGACAAGTAGACCCAACGGCGTATATCTGAATTGCGCCAGGACTCGGGCACTGAACCGCTCACGGAAAGGCTCAGTGACCATCACACATAAGGAGAACACCATCCCGAGGCATCCTCCTTCTAGACTGTAAGGGGCTTAAGCCATATTCCTGAGAGAGAGTATTCGAGATAGTGAGGACTTGCTGAAACAATGGTGCACACGGCGGGGGCTCGGGTACCTACGTACTGGAATGCCCTAATTCCAATGGGGATGAATGATTTCCTTTGCTCGCTGGGATTGGGTCGTTCAGCGGAGGCCCATGCTTCTTGCAGCAGGGGTAGCACCAGGACAAGCACCGGGGGCCACCAGGGTGGGAGGCCTTGGTCGACGCTTGTACCTGTCTAGCGTTCCATTGACACCCAGAAGAGCAGCTTACAGCTCTGTCCCCCGTCGCCCGCCCAGCTCCAGCACACGTTTGGGGTACAGGTACAGCCCAACCCCCTGCTTGGCCGGTCGACGACCACGCGTGGTACATCCGGTTTGCCCCCAACAGCGCGGACATCCATGTACCCGACCTGGGATTACTGTGGTGGTCCATGGGTTGATCTTCCATCAATTTTCCACTGCTTCGGCTCGGTGACACACTGTAGGGCGCATTGATGCGAGACCTCCTCAGCTCCTCTCCTCGCCCGGCCTGCACCATCCCCTTTCTTGGGTGTTGGGTGTCTGTATTCGTACATGCTATCATACGTGGAAACTCTGCGCTTCTTCCGTGTCTGTGCTTGGCCATCCGTCTGTGCATCGCTACCCTACCCTCCGGCAGCCTCTCCCGACTCTTAGGCCTCTTATCCCTTCCCCCCCCATTTTCTCTTACACACTACTAGTACTCAATCCCACCCAAGCCCGGTGCCAGACCTCCTTCTTTCTTCCTCTCTCCTTCGAAGCACCCTCCCATTCGAGGTTCGACTTTCGTTACCGAATGGCTTGTTGAGTTAATCCTAGTGCGATAGCAGAGAGAAATTGCCGGAGAGCACTTCTTTCTTCCGCATCGAGTCTCAACACCGTTATTACATCCATACATCACCTAATAAGCGTGGCCGCGACGCCATCGCGCAACGTCTATCCGCCATGGCTCCCTCTCTCAGCACGCACCCTTCTTTCACTAGACCTCGAACCAGCGATCGTGATGGCCGGCCCAGCACCCGCGACCAAGGCCCTGACCTGTTAATTCCCAGCCGCACCTCGTCGCTTCATTCTCGCATCACCCAGCCAGCTCCAGCGACCCTCTCCCAAAAGGCGCAGCAACGTACCCCGAAAACACTCACACATGCCTACATGGTGTGTGGTGTTGGCCGTGAGCCCTCTCAATGGGTCAAGGCCCCAGCTCCCGCTCAGGGCAAGATTGGCCATATGAAGGGTGCTGTTGGTCAGTTCTGGCTCCCCGAGATCTTGGGCAGCAGCCCCAGACTGGAACAGGACAACGAGATTGCTCGTGCTCTGCACGCAGCTATGAAGGTATGTTTCAATTCATTCGGCACGTTAAAGGAATCATTCCGTACTAACCAAATTTCTAGGCATGCTTCCCCCACGATGTTGAGATCTGCACTGGCCGAAGCCAGCCTCACTGCGTCCACCATGCCTTTGTTCTCCAGCAAGACTCCTCTCACACCCTTTACGGAATTTCCCTCCGCGTTTGGTCCCGGGCTGATGAAAAGAGAGCTGAGACCATTCGCGACTTGCGAAAGAGGACCGAAACGGATTTCTACGATAACGTCGACGAGACCTACTGGATCCCCTATTGTCTTTCGTTCCTTTCTAGGTATCCTCTGTACAATCTTCTCGGCGACTATCTCCGTGGCATGTGGATTCATTGGAACAAGGCCACAAACCTTTTCCACGCTGAGGAGGTTTCCCGAATTCTCAGCTTCCCGGCTCCTCGCCTGAACGACCTTGTCCGCATCGACATGAAGGACTATGCACTCTGCTACCAATTTCCCTCTTCGCCTACTGGCTTCCAGAACTTCGCCATGTGGCCCCTCTTCACCTGCTTGTCTATCCCTAACATTGTTGGCGTGATTGAGGCCGCCATTTCACCCACTCGCCGCATCATTTTCGTCAGTCACTACCCGGCAATGCTCACCATGGCTGCCGAGACAGTTCGATACTGTTCCCGTGTCTACGAGTGGAGTGGATTGTACGTTCCAGTCGTCCATGCCCGCTATGCCCAGGAATTGGCTCAGGAGCCTGGCCCATACATTTTGGGTATCACTGCCGAATGCCGCTCTCTTTTCACTGCTCCAACAGACGCGCTTGTGGTAGACCTCGATCGTAACTTCGTTCTCACCTCGAACCCACCGACTGCTCTTTCACCGGGACAGCGCAACAAGTTTGTCTCCCGATTGACGCAAGCCCTTAATGGTGATGTCAGCCCCACTGGCGTGCCACAGCACCTTCGCTCCGCCTATGGAGGTGGCAAGCTTATCCCTGCCGGCCAGATTATTGTCATGCGCGGCGAGGTTGAGTCCATCCAAGACCCTGAGTGGTGGAACCAAGACGCCGTTATGGCTGTCATGGATCACGTGTGCGAGAAGATTGGGCGCAACACCGGTATCAAGGCCGTGTTTGGCGGTGCGCAGAAGAAGCCTCTGATGACCAAGGTCTCCATGCGTCACCTTAATGAGATTGTGCGAGAGCGAAACCAGTACTCGCGTGATGCTTTGGAGGCCTGGCAGGACTTCATCAACCTCAAGGGTCGTATGGATACTGAGTTGAACAAGGTCAACAAGCGTAACAACTACCTTGTCGAGGAGCTCGAGAGCTGGAAGCAGCAGTTCCTCAAGTTCCAGGCATTTGCTGAGCAGCTCACCAAGGAGACCCAAGATCTCAAGGTCAAGATCGAGACCCATAAGAAGGAGAACCGACGCCTTGCAGGGCTCATTGATCAACAGAAGGATGACAATGCGCGCCTCTCGGTCCGTCTCACTGGTACCGAAAAGCAGCGAGACGACGCCCTTGAGGCTTTGGTTCTGCAGCAGGAGATTGCTGAGGAATTGGAGCGTGAGCGCAAGAGAAATAAGAAGGAACTGTCTCAGCTTCAACATACCAATGCTACTATTCTCCGACAGCGAGACGAGGCCCGCCGTGTTGTGCTCCACCTGCGCAGCCTTGTTGGCGGCCAGAGCCACCATCTGGAGCATCTCATCCAGACTCTTACCAGGCCCGAGGATCTCCTCCAAGAGATTGAACAGTACATGGACGACGAGGAGGCCTACGCCGCTCAGGAGGCTGAGCAGAACGCAGACGCTGATGAGAAGCGAACTATCAAGGCTATCCCTCATGACCGACGACTGTCAGCCTCGAGCTTCATTGATGTTGCCGACAGACATCTCAAGGATAAGACAGACGCTATTGCCCACATTGTGCGCAACATTGCAGAGCAATGCCAGGCTGCTGTTGAGAGCCTTCAGCTCGCTCAGGACGCCGAGATTCGCTCACGCCGTCGTGGCAGCAACCTCTCCACAGGACACAGCGAGGACTCTCATGACGTCCACTCCGCTGCCACCTCGGAGACTGGTGACGACAGCCTGCTCCACCCATCTGGACGAGCTTCCAGCATTCCTCCTACACCAGATCTGATCCCAAACCGAAGTAGCACTGCGATGTCGTACGCGTCAACAGCCGTAACCACACCGGAGCGTGGCAGTCAGCAGTTCACCGTTCGGGACGATATCCCTACAAAGATCGTAGAGGATGAGGAGGGAGAATACGAAGAATCACGAAGTGATTCTCATGAGAATGGGGTTGTGTCGAAGCACACCAGCAATCTCATGCAGCGCCCTGCCGGCGCTAGAATCAGTGCTCTGGGAGCCACTCGATAAATATCAATGCCCAGAGGGCCTCCATACCATATTGGCAGCACACCCTGTCGACGGTCACTGCTTGCCAACGTTCAAAATTAAAGCGGTTTTGTCGCTTGACAGGTTGCACCTATTGTTTCCCATGTAATTTTTTTTGACTTCCCTGGCGGTTGAAATCGCACCTTGCAGGCTTCGGCGTTTAATGTCTCTTTTTAGCTTTTCATTTTTCCATCTCTTTTACACCCCCAGGGAAGAAAGGGGGCTCATTTCGCACCAACTACCACCTTGATTATTGCGAGCGGGACTTGGATTTCTCAGTCATGTCATGTTACATCTTGTCTTTGTTTCTAGATCTGGGGGGTGGTATTAATTCCATTCATGTCCCTCCTTTATTTGGTATGCTGAGCCACCTTGAATGATAAAATAAAGTTTTGAATTTGACCATCACCTCCTTAAGTAAGTTGCAAGAACTAAAATGTCTTTCGCCAACGTCTTTCTCATCTTCTAGCGTGGTTCTGTGCTGTAGTTCGTAGAGGCTTATGTAAGCCCGAGGCAAAGGGGTCCAAAGCACCAAGTCAAAAATATATTTATCGATAAGATAAGATAGCGCAAGTATTTGGAAAAGTTGAGGATTCGGTTCACTTCGTCCTGCCACTCTGTATACCAATCATCACAATCTATTACGATGTCGGACCCTTTACTTACGTCGCTATGTTCAATTTGCCATGTATCACCCCCTAAATACAAATGCCCGCGATGCGGCACGCGCACATGCTCCCTGCCATGCACGAAAAAGCACAAGGCCTGGGCCGAGTGCACTGGCACTCGCGATCCAACCGTCTACAAGGCGCGCAAGGACCTGCGGACGGCGGCCGGCATCGACCACGACTACAACTTCCTCCACGGGATGGAGGTCTCGATGCAGCGGACGGAGAAGCACCTGGTCGAGGATAGGGGGGTCGTCCAGACGGAGGAGCTCCGCCCGCTGACCATGCAGGAGGTGAAGTGGAAGGTCGGCCGCGACGGCAGGAAGCGCAAGGTGTTGGTGACGAGGGTGCTGAGGGAGGCAAAAGGCCGGGTGTTTGAGCGCTTCCTGGCGTACGGACTGAGGAAGCTGAACATCCGCATCCTCTGCGCGCCGAGGGGGATGTCGCGGGAGCAGGAGAACAAGACGACGCTGAACAGGAGGTCGGGGCGGATCAATTGGCAGGTGGAGTGGCTTACCTTCGACGCCGACGAGGGGGGGGACTCGAAGATGGGGAAACGGGCGACGACGCGGATACTATCCAAATCCATGGACGACGTGCCGCTGTACCGGGCCTACAAGGATACGCTGGACGGGCAGAAGAGGCTGGCGAACAAGCTGGCGGGCATATCGGTCAGCGGACGCACCGGCATTCAGCACATGTCTGCTGCTACTTGGTTCCCGGCGCCGAGCACGCTGCAAGAGCCTGGAACTGGCTCTTGGGTTCCCGCCGAGTCCGTGTTCGCAACGGGGAGTTGGCCTTCCGACGAGGAGGCTGAGCTGCAGCGGCTGCATTGCTTCTACCTGGCGAACCCGCGACAGCGACCAGATCAAATTCAAGTGGTTACGAAGATTGAGTCGGGCGACTGCTTGCGAGAAATTCTACGAAACACGAATGTCTTTGAATTTCCTACCGTGTATGTCCTCCCTCAGGGACAGGCACTCCCGGCAGGCTTTGTTTTGGGGCCCAAGGATTTGAATGAAGAATCAACATTGCCTTTGCGCGCTGGGAACAAGCGGAAAGGCGTGCCCGACAGAAACAACAATACGTCGCGCTCTGCCAAGAAGAGGAAGCAAGGCGGGGAGGCAGGCGAGATTGGTAGCGACGAAGATGAGGTGGACGAAGATGCAGAGGATGACGCTGGCCCGAACAACCAATCAGTTGGTCTTGAGCTAGGGGAGGTGCTTGAGGAGCAGAGCTTTGGGGAGGAGGATGACGATGATGATTCGCCTACGAGCAGCTCCGGGTCAGACAGCGATGACGATTGAGGCACTTGGACAACTATGAAGATGTTTTCATGCAGTAGATGGTAATTGTTCTAGCGAAGATACCCATTGTAAAATAGAAGAACCACCAGTGGCCTTGGTGAAAGTAACAGGATACTCTGCCAGCGATAAGTAATAAACTCGTTCATGTAGGAATTGATTAGGCGGCGTTTCGAATTGGGATTTTGGATGGTGGTGTTTTGGAACAAGGGGCTGGTTCTGATACACACTGAAAGGCACTGAGCTGAGGCTGTGCTGGAGTGGCCACTCAGCGGTTGAAACCACCACCAAGTCTCTGGCGCTGTTGGACATCCACCACGTACCCTTTCGAAAAGGCAGCAACGAGACAGAATCGCGGCCACCACCGAACCTGCAAGCCGCGGACCAGGCGACTGATTACCAGCAGACGATACTCGGATCTGCGTCACACAATGGTCTGACTGGCCTTGCGCCCGCTCGCCCCTGTCGCATAGTTCACAGCCGAGCACCACCACCAACCCCCACCGCAGTACCACTATCATGGACCACACGCCAGCTCCAAAGCTGTCCGAGCTTCTACGACACCCCGACGATCTTGACAAGATCCCATCGCTCAAAGATGAGCTGCTACGTAAGAAGGCGGCCGTCGACGGCCAGCTCCGCACCGGTCTGCGGGAGCAGCTCGAGCTGTCCCAGTCGGGCATGAACGGCCTGAGCGACGGCCAGAAGACGGTCCAGATGATCAAGGACGAGATGATCAAGATCGACAAGCTCTGCTCCGAGTCGCAGAACATGATCAAGGACTTTGCCAGCATCAACCTGGTGTCGCAGGCCCACCGCAACTTCAACGCCGTCGAGACCATGCGCCACGACCTCGAGACCTTCAGCAGCAGGCTGGGAGTCGTGCAGGGGATGCTGCAGGAGGACGACGACGACAAGGAGAACATGCCCAACTTCCTAGCCTGCCACTACGAGCTTACGCTGCTGAGGAATATCCGCGACAATGCCATGGAGCAGATCAAGCGAGCCGACGACCCGAGTCTCGAATCGACCTTGGAGGATTACTTCACCAGGTTAGACGATACCATTGAGTGGTTCGACGAGCACGTAGGCCTCATCGCCCTCAACCTGGTCAACCTGGTGGTCAACGAGAACAACGGGCTCGTGGTGCGCTTCGCCGTCGTGATCGACGCCGAGGAGAAGAGCGACCAGCGCGTCCTGGCCGTGCAGGAGGCGCTGAAGGACCACAGGGAGATGGCCATGCGCTTCCAGGGGATCACGGACGGCGCGAGGAACGTCCGCGGGTACAAGGACAAGTTCATGCAGGCCATCAAGTTCAGCGCGCAGCAGAACTTCGAGCAGGCCGGGGAGGAGTTCCTCGAGGACCCGACCAAGCTCGAGAAGATCATGAAGTGGTTCTTCAACGATCTCAACGTGGTCAAGATCGGAATGACGCCGCTGGTGCCGAAGAGATGGAAGATTTCCAAGGCATATGCCGATATCTACCATGGGCTCATGCACGACTTCCTAATTGGCATCGTGGATGACCCGGACACCAGCTCTGCACACACACTTGAGATTATTGGCTTCCCAGAGAAGTACTACAAGAAGATGGCTAAATTGGGATTCTGGCAGGAGGAGCTGGTGCCCCATCTCATTGACAACCGTGAGGCCGAGCTTGTCCGTGACTTCCGACAGCTCATCATCAAGTTCCTCGACGAGTGGATAGAGCGCATCTTCGCCCAGGAGCAGCGCGACTTCACTGAGCGGAGCGCAGGAGGCCCCGAAGGCGGCTCCAACCTTGACCAGGATGAGTACGGATATTTCCGAACAAAGAACCTGGTGGCCCTGTGGCGTATGTTGAAGGAGCAGGTGGACGCGGCAGCCAACTCGCAGCGAGGAGACGTCGTCGAAGGTGTTATTGACGCCATGCTGGTACGTCTGCATAACAGGCAGCAGGCCTGGCAGAATATGCTCGAGACCGAGGCGGCGCGCTACGAGGCCATCGCCGCCAGCGGCAATACCGAGGAGCTCGAGGGCTTCCAGGCCCTGCAGGACTGGCTCGTGGCCACGGCCAACGACCAGATCGCCTGCATCGACGACAACGAGGACGAGGGCCGCCTCGCCTACCTTTCCAACTGGCGCCAGACGTTCGAGCCTCACATCTCCCCGGCCTACTCGGAGCGCGTCGAGACGGAGATGAACAGCCTCCGCGACGGCTACGTCGACTTCAGCACCTGGTGCATCACCCGCTTCGCCCAGGTCATCTTCGCCGTCGACTTCGCCCAGGTCATGCCCGACTTCTTCACCCCGAAATGGTACACCAGCACCGCCATGAAGCAGATGGTCGTCACCTTCGAGGAGTACGTCTCCGACTACCGCCAGGTCCTCCACCACTCCCTCGTCGACATCTTCATCGAGATCTTCGCCGACGAGCTCCTCATCCGCTACCTCTCCTCCGTCCGCAACAAGGGCGCCCGCTTCCGCCGCGCCGACCCCTTCGTCGACAAGCTCATCGACGACATCCGCGTCGCCTTCGACTTCTTCGAGTCCCTCCCCAGCCCCGAGGTCGGCGCCTCCATCAAGGAGACGTGGCGCGCCACCGAGCTCTTCCACCAGCTCCTCACCGCCGACCGCGACAGCGTCCCCGACGCCTTCGAGGCCTTCAAGGCCAAGTACTGGGACCTGCAGATCACATGGGTCGAGGCCGTCCTGCGCTCCCGCGACGACTTCGAGAGGAGCATGCTCAACGCCGTCAAGGCCAGGGCCGCGCAGATGAATGTCGAGCGGGGGCCCGAGACGCTCATGAGCAAGGTCAAGTAAGAAAGACGGGCGAGGATTGCATCGCATCTACATTCACCGAACCGGAGCAGGAATATCAGGAGAAAAGAAAGAAAAAGTCATGTAAGAGAGTGAGGGGGTTCATGTCGCACACGCAGTGTTCATTATTTTTATCTGGAGACGGTGGACAGGTTATGTTGGGTTCATTAGCGGATAGTATTCATGTTAGATAACTTTTGAATTATCACGAGATGCCAAAATTACATCGACAGACACTGAGTTCTCCAGTCTTGCGCAGATTTGGCAGCCAAAGTTCAGGGGATATTCAATTATATTCGTCCAAGAGTTTGTAACAGTTACAATCTTGAGTGGAAAGACCACATATGTTACATGCAGTATAGACAAGAAGAAACAAAGAAACTGACAATGGATTAGTAGACATCTTCCTCCGACATGTCCTGTGTGCCCTCCGCTCCTCTTCCGCTCCTCTTCTTCTACCTCCTCCTCCTACTATTTCATCCCAAGTAAACACTAGACGGAAAACTACGCTGCCCAATGCAATCTGGCGCTCAAGTACTGAATAATCAGCTGTCTGCCCTCCCATATCGAACATATCCTACCCTTCGAAAGATAGGAATCGGTGTGTAAATGAGGAAAATCGTGAGGACAAAAGAAAAGTATCAAGCAAATTAAGATGAAAGAATGGTGAGTTCTTGGAAACATGGGGTACTTCGTTGCTACGTCTACACCGTCTATGACTGGCTGGCGAGATGGTTTGCAGCCTACACATAAGACACGTTTCGTTAGTACATATCATTTAACCCATCTGCATCGAGGAGCATTATCTTACCTTTTCAAGGTTATAGTTGTACTTCTCCAAGGCATTGACGGCATCCTTTCGGGCATACCCCATTCCGACTAGGTCTTTGACGATAGGGTCGTCGTGCTCGCCCCCTTCTGTCAGTGCCCGTCCGACAGCAGGACGCTCGGGGATGGCGAGACCGTCTGCTTTGTCTGAGAGAAGGTCGTTTGCTGCAGGCGCAGCAGCTGGCTCGCTATCCAGTCCAGCGAAAATAGCATCCCAATCATGAGAATCGGCAGTCTTCTGCTGGGCTGTGGCATTTGGGGCTGCAGTGGGAGCAGTAACCCCAGGAGCAGAACTAGTAGAGATGAAATCGAAGCTGCTTCCATTGCCGAAAGACTCGCTCTTCGCCTGACTACCGGGAGGGCTGCTGTCAAAGACGGGGTTGAAGTCTTCCAGCCCAGATCGAGAAACATCAGCGAAGTCTTCGTATCCTGAACCTTCCTTGGCTTCCTCCAGGCCCTCAAAATCATCTTCAGACTCGTCAAAGGCCCCCTTTCCGGAAGGGTTCGAAGCAGTGGGTTGCTTTGCTGCCGCTGTAGGAGCTGGGTCTGCCTTGCCAAAAATATCATCAATCGAAGACTGTTGCTGTGTGGTACCAGTGGCGGCTGGTGCTGTAGGTGTGGTTGGGGAGGAAGGCTGCTCATGTGTCTCATTTGCCTGCCCTGTAGCTGAGACTGCGCCGTCCCCCTTTATGCCCTCAGTTGCGGGTGCCGAGCTGGCATCAGCAGCCTTGGGCTTTTGGGGTGGTGATCTAGGAGCAAAGTCGTCTTCGAAACCACCCTCATCACTCTCGGAATCGGATTCATCGTCTTTCTCAAGTGATGAGATAGGGGGGAACTCGGTGTTGAATACAGATTTGTTCTTTGGTGGTTCAAAGGCGGTAGTGTCCGGGCTGGTGCTCTTGGCTGACGCGAAGGCAGCAAATGCGTTATCAAACTCCTCCTTTGCCTTGGCCTGATCTGTATTGGCAAAAACATCAGATGATTTCGGGGCATCGGAGGGTTCATCAGAAGCCTTGTTGCCAGCCTCCTCGGAGGTAGCAGGAGGAGGTCCTCCAGGGATATCAGCCTTATCCGAATCATCCGCGGGGAATGCTCCAGGGAGGGCCGCCGAGCTAGCTGAATCAGCCGGGAACGAAATGTCATTCAAAGAACCTTCAGCGCGAGAGGCAGGAGGAGACACCTGGCGGGAGGACGTTAGAGATTCAGAGTGTTGTGGGAGAGGCAGGTTGCTGGAAGTGATTTGTCTAGACTCAGGCGGCGCAGGGGGTTCAGCCAGGGTAGCCTGGCGGCTCATGGTTGGCGATCCATTGGGGGCAGAGCTGAAGCTAACAGCCGAGTTACCCGTGTGCTGTCGCTTGAAAGAAGTAGGAGGAGGTGGAGTAGCACTGGATCCGACAGGAGCGGATGGGCCAAAGACATCATCGAAAGCGGTGTCGCTGAAAGTTCTTGAAGGGGGAGCAAATGCTCCCATGATATCCGTGCTTGCAGTCCGGTTGAAGAAAGGGTTGTTTCCGCTAGCTGTCGAAAGTGCCGGGCTAGCAACCTTAGCAGTTGTTGAGGCTGGTGACCCGGTATTGATCTGTCGCGAGAGCTCTTCGTTGCTCTTTGTCAGTTCTTCAGCCTCGGCCTTGAGCTTATCACGCTCATTTTCGGTCGTGGAGAGCTGCTTCTTGTTGATGGCCACTAGACCCTTTTGTTGTCTCGCGTCAGACTTGAGCTTTTCGATCTGGGGTTTGAGCTGAGCAATCTCGCCGTTTACAACCCTGATTCGCTCTCTCAGATTGGCGTTTTCCTGCTGGTCCGCCTGGAGAGACGAGAGAGTCTCCTGGTGTTGAGTTTGTACGTCTTTGTATGTTCCTTCTAGGATCATACACTCGCTCTGAAGCTTCTGGGTATCGGCACGTGCAGTCCTCAATTGCTCCTCTAATGCACGTGTATCTTGGGCCTCCTTCTCATAGAGTGTACGAAGCTGGCTCAAACGCTGTTCAAAGTTTTGCTTCTGAGAATTGGCTTGGTTCAGCTCATTCTGGGTATTCGTTCTCTTAGCCTGGGTGTCCTGCATCTGCTTGGAGAGAGATCCGATCTGGTTGGAGAGATTGGCCAACTCGGTCGTCTCGCCTGTCAGCTTTTTGCTAATATCGGGGTCGGTATCACCAAGCAAATCATCCCCGAACTGTGTGGCTTGCTGTGAGGATGAGGGCGTGGAGTCGCCTGTTGGTTGCTTGGTCAGACCCCTACCAAACGACGATGAGGGGACAAAAGGCTTGAACGACACCCCTGATGATACCGCTTTCGACGTAGGTGACGAGGGGACTCCACCAGCAAACGGATCAGATGCAGTTGATCCCGCAGCAGACTGGTCTGGCACGGGGCTTGGTGACGACTCCAACCCGAACAAATCATCAAGAGCGGATTTGGGCGCCGGTGGTGGTAGCGGGGGGGTGGGAGCTTGAAATGCCGATTGAGCCTGCACCGGCTGTCGGTTGCGCAAGCTGGGGGGGATGAGGTTGGGAGGCAGAGTAGCAGGGAGAGGGGCCGAGCGGTTGCCTCTTTGCTGCCTGATCAAAAACATTGCGACAGCAAATTCATCACGAGTCAATTGGCCATGAGAGTTGATGTCTGACAGATCCCAGATCTGAGCCAGGGCATCCTCTGGCAAGCCCGACTGCTTCAGGAAAGGAACGGCCTCTTCTCCAGTGATGAAGCCTTTCTTGGTCTTGTCCAGATCAATGAAGATGTGGTCGAACTTGGCCTTGTCTCCAGGCGTAACCGCCCAGTTGCTTCCTGTGCCCTGAGGGCCGATCGGGGGTCGGCCAAGCGGACTTCCAACACGAGCTTGCGTCCCACTTAATTGGCGTGGGATCACAGAAGCAGGAACTCCAGTGCTCTGAGGTGACTGGCGGGGGGCAACTGGAGAACCGCGGCGAGTAGCAGCTTCGTAGAGGGCGGCTGGGAGAACGGTGGGAAGAGCACGAAGAGAGCCGGTCTTCATGGATGTGAGCAGGTGCATGGCAATGATGAATTCGGCCTGAACAAGAGCGCCTCGCTGCTCGGTATCGGCCAGCATCCATATCCTGCCAAGAATCTCGTTGGGGAGGCCACTCTTTTCGAAGATCTGTTTGGCTTGGTCGCCTGGGAGCGTGCCGCCCTGCAGAGGCTGGCGCTCGAAGAGGCCGGTGTATTGCGCAACCTTCTCAGGAGTCAACGGAGGAATTCGAACACCACCGGATCCTTGGGGCTGAATAGCGGCCGGTGGGGATGGCGATCCAACGGTCGGAAGGCCAATGCCATCGAATCGAGGAAGCTGGCCGGGCTCGAGAGCAAGCGTCGGGGTTGGTTCTCTACCGGCTTGGGCATGGCCTATGAGTCGCAGGACAATGCTGAAGCCTGCGGGTGTAAGAAAACCACGGTTCTCCTTGTCGGCGATCTGCCAGATCTATTTGCGAAATAAACCAGTTAGCGAGGGCTAAAAGAGGCAGGAGAAAGCCCGGCAGCTAGGAAACAAACCTCGCCGAGGACACGAGAGTCCAGTCTTGTCTTCTCGAAGAAGGTCACGGCGACATCTCCGGTAACGACACCAGCACCACCAGTATCAGCCTGACGGAATAGCTGACCAAAATATTGCTTCTCGTCGTGGCTGAGGTTCAGCTGGAGCGCAGCTACACAGACGTGCTATTAGAGATGAGGGTTTCCTGATGGACGTGGGCCGGGGGCGCCGTTGACTTACAAGCCTCAACACTCGAGTCGGCGGCCATGGTCGCAAACGAGCTCTAGGAAGCTCCTAGCAAGCACGGACGTTGCGTTGTGTCTCGTCTCAGCCGGCTTGGGCCTCGAGGGGGGAAAGGATACGGCGGTGCAGTAGGAGGAGCTGCAGCACAGATACAGGCAGGTTCTGAGCGCTGCAGGCGTAGTGCGCGGCGACGGGGAGTGCAGGTACCGTCGACCAGCTGGTCATGCAGAGTCCACGATGCCAGGCGTCGACGTGGTGTGGATAAACGTATGTACGAGCAGGTGGTTGGCGTTGCTGCCCGGAGCGGCTGGAGGCAGCAACAGCAAGCAACAGCGGCCAACAGCAGCCAACCAGGCCCACCGGTGGTCCGCCGTAGTTTACCCTTGCGCTGCGAAAACGCCTAGGCCTGCTAACAACGTCCAATGGGGCGGCGGCCGGGTGGGCACGAGCCAGCTGCTGTTCTAGTGTTGTGCTACGTAAGTATCCGTGCGCCACACTTGGGCGCGTCCAGGGTAGGTTTGTAGCTCTGCTGCGCGGGACATTGCTGCTACCCGCTGTCGATGTCATAGGCTGCTGCACCCTGCATATCCGACGTACCCTAGACACCGGTCCATCCGTGGTCCAATCGAGCTTCCTGGGTGAGTCTCTCTCTCTTGAAAGCCATTCTGGTGGTTCATATCCCGGCTGGCAGCTCAGGCGATGATAAAATATCGTTGAGAAGAATTGACTTTCAGCTGATCCCGATGGCAGATGCCAACTACCCAAGTGGGTTCCTGGGCCGGGCCTCGGTGCCTCCGAGCTATGGATTAGCCTATTCATTGCGCGACCCATTCCGCAATCTTTTACTGCTCTGTAATCATCACGTCTAGCTATCCGAATCGGCCTTGATTTCTAATATTTCACTCATTGGACCAGCTGTAAACCGCACGCACGATCCCTCGCTGCCTCTATAAATCGCTGCAAACGTCCCAACCCGGCGGCTAGATCAAATCCCCGCGACGAAGAAGAAACTAGAGCAGAGAGTTACAAATCAACTCTCGCCCTATAATTGCCCAGGAGAGACCGGGTTTCAATTGCAGAAAAAAGCACTGATTACCGCCTGCCTCGCCATCGAGTCTGACAAAGACGTCACCCGCTATCTCACACCCCGCGATAGTACCCCGCCATCGCGCCGCACTCGCCGTCGCCGCGCTCCGTCCTTTCATATAAATTGTCCATGAACCGCCTCGTTCGCCTTCCAGCTTCAGCTATATCCAGGATTCAACCTAGAGGTGCACCCGGTGCTTCTCTTCGCATCAACTCACTGACTCGCCACCTCTCTACTTCTGCGCCCACCATGGCCCCTATCACTCACGAGGCCGACTATGTCGTCCTTGGAGGCGGTAGCGGAGGTTTAGGTTCTGGCCGTGCGGCGGCGAGCCGATTTGGCCAGAAAGCAGTTATTATCGAGAACAAGCGCCTAGGAGGAACTTGCGTCAACGTTGGGTATGTTTGGCTGCACACTCGTCTCCCTGCTTGTTGAGCCCCCCGCTAACCATTTGCTGCTGTCAAATGTAGCTGTGTCCCCAAGAAGGTTTCCTGGTATGCTGCCACCCTGGCCGAGTCCATCCGCGAGTCCAAGGCATACGGCTTCAACGTCGAGCACACCGCGCCCTTCGACTGGCCCACATTTAAGAACAAGCGCGATGCCTATATCAAACGCCTGAACGGCATCTATGAGCGCAACCTGGCAAACGACAAGGTCGAGTACGTGCACGGAACAGGCAAGCTCTTGTCCAAGAACCAGATCGAGGTGACCCAGGATGACGGTTCCAAGGTCCTCGTCAACGCCAAGAAGATTCTCGTCGCTGTTGGAGGCAAGCCCCATATCCCACCCGAGATCCCCGGTGCCGAGCTCGGCACCAACAGCGATGGCTTCTTCGAGATTGCCACGCAACCAAAGAAGGTTGCCGTCATTGGCGCAGGCTACATTGCCGTTGAGCTTGCTGGTGTATTCAACGCTCTTGGAACCGAGACTCACCTCCTTATCCGCCACGATACCTTCCTGCGTACATTCGACCCGATCATCCAGGAAGGCCTGACCAAGGAGTACGAGAGAGTGGGCGTGAAGCTGCATAAGCGGAGCCAGGCAAGCAAGATCGAGAAGGATGCGAACGGCAAGCTTACGGTTACCTACAAGGACGACCAAGGAAATGAGACTGTCCTCACCGATGTCGACCATCTCATCTGGGCCATTGGACGTGTTCCAGAGACGAAGAATATTGGCTTGGAGGAGGCTGGTGTCAAGCTCGACGACAAGGGCTTCGTCGTTGTGGACGAGTACCAGAACACCAGCGTGGACAACATCTACGCCCTCGGTGATGTTACAGGCCAGCTCGAGCTGACGCCCGTGGCCATCGCTGCCGGTCGACGACTGTCGGAGCGCCTCTTTGGCGGTCCCGAGTTTGCCACGCGCAAGCTGGACTACACCAACGTTCCATCAGTTGTCTTTTCCCACCCCGAGGTTGGCTCGGTTGGTCTTACCGAGCCACAGGCCATTGAGCAGTACGGCAAGGAGAACGTCAAGGTCTACACCACCAACTTCACGGCCATGTACTACGCAATGATGGAGCCGGAGCACAAGGCCCCGACTAAGTACAAGCTCGTCACCGTCGGGCCCGAGGAGAAGGTCGTCGGTCTTCACATTCTGGGCTTGGGAAGCGGCGAGATGCTCCAGGGTTTCGGCGTGGCCATTAAGATGGGCGCCACCAAGGCCGACTTTGATAACACTGTTGCCATCCATCCAACCAGTGCTGAGGAGATTGTAACCCTGAAATAGAGATGATATAGACTTAAGATAACGCCATATAAAGATCGATGATATAAACTACAATTCAAATACCTGCTCGGAGAGATCCATCCTTGTGATTCAAACCTGATATGCTATGTTAGGACTACAATGCATTCTGCCAGATCAAGACTTTCACTTCACCTCAACTTTGCGTCTAGGTAGTATTCATCTTGTGAGAGACAATCTCAATGAGCAACATGTATCCTAACCTAACCTTGATACTCTTTACATCGTGATTTTATGAACGAATCGCCAATGATTATCCTCCCCTTAAACAATATATCCATTGATAACCAGCTAATCGAGTACACAGAAGATAATTAATCTCGCTTATTGGACATCAGAACATGCATCAATTGACAATCACGAGCGGGAAGAAACAGAGAACTGTCTTCCCAGCGGGAAATGGCATAGAAACTACTCTGATGGCGATCACTGAAAACAATGACAGAGGGACATCGAGTCCCGGAGAATTTGCACGCATGTAAAGAACAATACGTTGCTCGCCACTTATCTTACAACATTCAGAATGAAATTATTGTGTTCACATCTCTCATCTTAGCATACTGTCTACTTTCTTAGCTTCTCCCATGAGATACCTGCTACGGCTACTACTCACCATCGAAATACGCAATGGGCATCTTCATCCATCACATTCTGTCCCAAGCACATTGCTATCCCCATGTAGATTCCCATGGTTGGAAGAGCTAGCTCCCCTGGATGCATTGCAGGAATCCATCGATCCGAGGGCCAATTGGACACTGCAGAGAAGCTCGCTCCTACGACAGCACATGCAAACGGAGCCATCAGGAGTGGACCATCCCGATAAGTTGAAGACTCAAGCAAAATCCTCCCCCCTCAACAACGAAGCTGCTTATCAAGCGCGGCGCTGGCACAGGCGCATCGGGCACCACATGAGTCTTGGCTGGAGCTACGAGACGACACATGCACGCTATGACCTATCGTTTAGTTTTTTGAAGCACGGCCAGCACACTCGAGGGCTCCTCCTCATGCATGATTCGTCCCCAAAGTCATCTGATGCCAGACGTGGGTTATGGGCCCATCCCTTTTGGGGTCTTGGGAATGGATTATACAGACGATCCAGCCGTGGGGGAACAGACGTCCCATCGTGCCACCAGGACAAACCTTCTGCTGCATATTAGAAGCACACATGACGTAGGAAGGGTGCCAATAACAGGACATATTATGCTTTCCTGACGGCTCGGGTACTGCGTTGTTAATTTGTCTGCTCGTGCGAGCCCGTACATGATGCAGTCGCGGAAGAAACTGACACATCAGATATCTGTACACGCAGCAGCCCAGCTGTGGACGGCCGAGGACCAAACAGCCACGCATAATGCGTCTCCGGCACCCAGACTGCACATCCTGCATGCCCCCCAGGGCGCACTTGGGACACCCTCTGCGCAGCCCGAAGAAGGGACTTGGGGAGCAATTCTCCGACGCTGGCCGAGGAATAATGGGCATGAAACCCATCATTCTCACCACCAGCCCTCTCCCCTCCGTTCGGAGGGCATGGCAGTTCGCCGCCATTGGGCCATGCAGTCATGCTGGGCCGGCGCTCGGAGTTTCATGGGTCAGAGGCAAACCTCCAACAGCCAGACCACCGAGCCGATTGACCAATACATCGCCCTCCCACTCTCACCATCGTCGATATCCCCATCACTTTTCGGCGCTTAGGTACGACGTGCTGCCAATTCGCTAGCTTTGGGGGGTTTTGCGTAACCCAACGCCCCGGCCTAGACCAAGACCATCATCCCACGGGCCTCCTCCCGGGATGTCCCTTTCGAGGCGAATGGTACGGCGTTGTAAGTAGGAGGTCGCGGCGACCAGCACCGACTGTACGGTTACGGGACTAGCACGACAGGACTCCCTGTAGATTTAGCAATGCAACGTCCTTGAATCGAGCAAGAGCAACACCAACTATTGCCTTTCGCGCCACACTCATCAAAGGGTCCAGAGACTAAGGTGAGGGGAGGGAGCCAGGTGAGGAAGCCAGGTGAGGACAGTCGCTCTCAACGGCCAACAGTCCTAGGTCAAGGGGCATCTGTTGGATGCCCTGTCAGCAAGGGCAATGCAACTCGAGGTGCTAGCGTGTTGGGCTTCAAGGAGTCCGGGCCAGAAGGAGCATAGCATAACGCACGTTTGTAACACCTCTCTCACATCTCATATTTTGACATTGGCCTCATGGTGTGAGGAGGAGGCAGGCAGGCGAGAGGGCGACGGGCTATCACACACACACAAAGTCTGGCTTGTGCCACACGACCAGGCAAGAATAGCCCGGTCTTGGGCCGGATTGAGCTTCTTGCAGTCACGTCCAAGGTGCCACCAAAAACAACACCACCTCTTGGCAGCTAATACAGCCCTCTCGTACCGATCATTTGGAGCGCCACCTCCGCATCGCAGAGGAGGTGACCCTAGGTGCCTTGCCCACGGATCACGCTAGAGCCAGACCAAGACGGGTCAGCTGGTCAGCTGGACGGACATGCTGATGAACGGCTGGTCTGTTGCAACCCAGGTTTCGATACGGCACCACCACAACCCTGCACGGCGCTCCCCGCACTCTTGCCTGCTCATCCAACTCGGCAAACCACGAACCACCTCCAGGGCCAGGTTCCAGGCCCACAGCGAGGACGGCAGGAACCATGGTCAGCTCTGGAACCTGTCTTGGGGATCGGTAGCCATGCTCTAGCCACGCTCTGCGCGCATCGTGAGTCGCTGGCGGCCGCTGCTATCTTTGGTGGCGCTGCGCTGCAAAGGCGGTCCCAACTCCCCACGGAAGCTGCACGTTGGCCGTTCGTTCAGGGAGGGTTGGTTGGTGGCTGTCCCGACCTGGCGAGTTGACTTACAATGAGACCAACCAAGAGCTGAGGGAGGCGGCGGCCATGCGCAGCAAGCTGGGTCTGACCGCAAGCACGGAGAATCCCAAGAGCTCGGTCACACACACTTCCAAACTCTAGAACTTCGCCCTTACGTCGACTGGCAGAGAGAGACAAGACATTGGGAAAACCCACGTGGCTGCGCTGGATCAATATTCTAGCCTGGAGAGGCCATGAGGGTTTCTTGATTCTGGATACGACTTCTGGATTTGGACCAGACGTGTACCGATTGGGGTGGTGGACTCAATAATTCGTTCCCTTTCGTCCAAGAGCCATTTCGTGATTAGCAGAACTGTGATATTGAATTTTAGGGGTCGCTTCCCACCGTCGCCTCTGGTGCTAGGCCCACACCTGTCAGAGCGACTCTAGACCGAATTGACACACACTCGCATACATACACACATCCACGCAGGCTGGAATGCGGAGATGTAGGTGCCGTGGTCGCAGGCAGGCAGGCTGTGCTAACCGAGAGGGACCAGGCCATGTCCGAGGATCCGACTACTCATCGGAATGGAATAGCGTGATGGCAGCTGGTCGCCTTCTGTTGCACGTTATGCAGCCCTCATTCGCCTTGAAGGCAGCTGAGACATGTCGCAGGGCCGGCGCTGTCCCCTGCTCGATTCTGCCTCGTACAGCATTTGGTTAGTAATTGAATTGCATCCGAGCAAGTGAGGGAGAAAACAGAGCGAGAGCGAGAAGAGCATCAATTGCTGCCGAGCTGTTTCCAATTGAAATTGGCCACTGCAGAAATGGCGAGATGCTTCCTGGTCGGCATGTTCGAGAACCGCCATCGGAACTCGCCGGTGCAATGGATAGGCGATGAAAAAGTTTATTCATCGTCTTCTCCAGGAAATCAGGCCACGGGCGGGCCACCACGATACAGGTACGGCTAATTGTGGCTCTGGATAGTATTTCGTGGAGCTCTCCGCACACGCTTTGACGCTCTCCCATCGCACCGTCTCTAAGTTCTAACAGTTCCACAACCTAGTGCGAAGCCTCAACATCTCGTCTCCACATCGGTGGTTGGAATCGCCGACTTCAAACTTCACACACCTCAGGTGGCTGATAGTCTAGGCGTACGGGGTGGAATTGGGGCAATTGGTGGCCAGAGGCGTTTGTGGACTGCCTCGTCAGCTCTCCTGATGGCTTGTGAGTGGAAACTAGTGATGAATTGCCGTCTGAGGTATGCGAAGATTGAATGAACTATAATGAGGCGCCGATAGACGCCGATGTCGAGGAACAGTAGCTGCCGCACCTACCAGCTAGCGCTCCTCAGCGAGATCCGAGAAGTGGCTATGTAGGTACACAAAATGGGCTTCTTGTACGGAAATGAGCGGCAGGATTTGGAGATCGCCTAGCACGACTGGACGGCAGTGGCCGTGGCTCGAAGATCGCGACGAGGGAGTATCAGCGTCAAACAGCCTGCCACTCTTGCTGCAAAAATCATCCGATGGCTCCAGCAACCAATTGGAGACTGCAGGCTATTCGACCGAAAGCTACGTCACCAGCAAAACCGGAATGCGTCGGCGTAAGATCAGTGAAATCTGCCGATAGGCAGGGACTGGATGCAACGCACTCAACAGTGAAATGCATGCATCTGTCTGCGCAAGGATGGTCAAATCTCCTTCGACTCCCCCTTGGCCCCCTGCTGTTTACGGGGTATTTTGCAATTGGTGATCAGATACCTACCCAGAGGTCTCGGAGAAAACACAATCGCCAGAGACCGTCCAGGATGGCAGCCGGATGTGATTTTCTCAGGGCGGAACCCTGCAACCCCCTTCGTATAATACACGTACTCGAGCGGTTACTGCTACGTAGACAAGGAATGCATTGAAAGCACGGACAACGACGAGGGCCACCGTCGGTAGGAACGTCGGTAGGTGGTCGTTAGTGGTGTAACGGTGTATGTAGGAACGGGCTGCCTGCAGCACGATCCAGCGCTTGATGGGTGTGTTTCAGTCACAGCTCAGTGCTTTGAGCCACAGACCAACCAACGACACCTTGCTGTGCCTTCCTACCGAGGCATGTGGTTGCAGGCGTCTGTCTCTCCCATTGCCTTCATTGTCTCGGGCGGGGCGCTCACCGAAACAGCATCCGGACGAAAAGAGCTATTTGTGATGGGCCAGACTCTGCCACTGATTCACCCCGTATCCGACACAGCTGGATCGAAACCAGACTGAGGCGTTTCGGCGTGGAATCCACGGAACCGGTGACTTCCGAAGACGCCTCGTTTGTTTGTTGTTTACGAAGGATATACCCATATGGCCAGGTGAGACAGCGGAACTAACCTGGCTCGAAATTGAGTCGAACGCACGCATATTCAGGAGGCTCATGTCCCATTCCAGCAAGTGGTATTAATAGGGCTGTTGAGGAGCTTGGAGATTTGTTGAAAGGAAAAAATTGCAGTGCGGTACCTGCCTTAGTCAAGCGGCGCGGTAGCATGTAGGCCTGTCCAAGGGATGATCGATGCAATGTAACTCAGAAGCCCGTAGATATCAGTCGGCGTCTAAGTGAACTGATTTGCAGACTGGTGGTATGTGCTGTTATTAGCCACCACCAACGCAGGCTAAGCCATGGTACCATTCCTCCCGGGACGCAGATTCAGGGGAGGAAAATTTTTCGCTCCTCGATGCTGCCTTGGAGGACGATGCATTAGATGCGACTAGCAAATAGCACGATCATCAGTGATCGACACACGGCAGTCGATGCTGCCTACTAGTGCATTAGTTGATTAGTATGTGAGGGTGCTGGCTGCACTTTCGCCTGGCCAGGCCGGCGGAACTATTGTGGACTGGCATTTTCGCGACAGCCTGACGCCTTCTAAGCTTAGTGCAGTAGTACGTGCTAGCTCGTCGTTGCCCAGGGGTGTGGCTGTGGTGTGCTATGGTGTGCTGTTGTGTTGTGCAAATCACATAATTCACAGCTGGAGTTGCAAAAATCCCCAACTAAACGACTTATGTAAGCCAGAGGGGTGGGCCTAGCTGGGCTTCCCTGTGGCTTTCAGGACATGCACAATCTGCCAAGGGCGGTACGTACTCTTGGTAAGATCATCTCCCGAGCGCCTCACCAAAATGGTCCAAAGTGGCTCTACAAACTGGCCTGGACCATGCCTGTTCGCAGCAGCTCCCTACGCTAACATTTTTTCTCTAGGAGCAAGGCTTGAGAATGTCTCAATCTCGGAGCCCCTAAGGTGTGACGGCCTGACTGTGATGTTGAGTTTGCTTTCCTGTCTCAAGCATCCAAGACACCCCCCACGACATACCCTGGCCAGTGGATTCCTAGTAAGGGAAAGGGAAGGGAAAGGGAAAAAAATTCTTGCAGCTAACGATCTGGTCATGGCCGCAGGCAACCATTGGCTCCTGGAATAGATGGAGGCGCCCAGAGGAGAGCTGATAGGTTGTAGCCGAGATTGACGGGCCACACCTCAGCTGCAACGGCTCACATAATGGCCTATTGATCAGCTTCGGATGCTGCACTCAGGCCAGAGGGGCGCTGATACATGTGTTTCCGGTGCCAAGGTGGTCCAATGGGCCTATCACGGCTCAACCCAGTTGCGCAGGCTGTCAAAGGGTGCCACGTTGTTCTGTAGACCAGCGTCACCAAGGCGCATCCCACAAGGTTAGCTCGAGTTTGCAGCCTAGCTCAACGACGACCACGTAACCCGGGTCGCCTATTTCGGTTTGGCACCTGTCATCTGTGCCTGGAGCAGCCAGCTGAATGGCTGGATGTCTCACGCCTCTGCTCTACTTTCTCAAAACGGAACCAGGACTCAGGCATCTAGAAGCTATTGGGCTCCTGTTTGGGTAGGGATGTGTACTTCCATTACTGGATCGGTAAGTTGGCGGAACCAAAGATCAATCATCTCTGGTCCAATGGCTGTCAGCCCATGTTGCCTAATGGTTTGATAAGTGCATGGCACTTGTTGAGGCAAAAAGGCAATTCGGCGGCTGGCTGAACAAAGGCCCACCAGCAAGTTGGTCGCCAGGCAGTCATCATCATCCGAGGCAAAACGCCATCCGTCTCGAAGTGGATTGATATGTGACCAAGATGCTTCGCAAGTCCAATTGACGAAATCGTGGCACACCCTCAACACTCCACCACAGGATCCTGTGCGGCTGACAGAAGGAGAGATACAAGGAGGGGAAAACTTTCCTCGCCCGCCAACCGCTCGGTTGGTCAATGATCATCGCCATCAATTGTTTTCGTTTGCAATAAGGCTTTGAAAGCGAGGAAGACGAACCCTTGCAGTACCTGCTCACCCATAACCTTCGATTCTGTGTAGCCATGATAGTAAGCCGATTGGCCCTTTAGAAGACGATGAAAATTTTATCAAATTTCTGGATGGGTATATATGGCGAGGTGGCGAGGGCACCGTAACACAAGGATTCTTGACATACAACTGCTCAAGCACCGGGAAGCAGAGGCTGGCATCCGCTGATGGCTGCCCAGCCCACCATGAAAGAAAAACTTCTGCCCAGTGCAGTGGTGTAGGCATCCTTGGCAGCCAGCAATTGGATCAACTCAGCGACAAGGAAAATGAGCAATTAGAGACTCAGCTGTGGCAAAATCAGTATTTTCCCCGATTGAGATCTGGTGGGGTTTGCGGCTGTAGTTTTTTCAGTTGATGATGGTGGTTAAATTTAGTTGAGTGGTGAGATACACAATCCTGGCCTGTGGGTAAATAATTACGATGAACCAGCATTGGAAGAGACTCGAAACTGCGGGGTACCCGTTGTTGCTTCCTTCCATCTTAGCAGCAGCAGCAGCTATAATTCACTTCTTATATAAATAAGCAGTGTTATTATGCCGATCGTTGTCCAAGACCAACAATTAGGTCCTCTTATTCCCGTCTTCTGTCCTCTTTTTTGTTTTCTCAGTTTCTCATTGCCTTCAGGTGGAGAATATCGCGCTCAAGACTTTATCCTAGCCAGCAAAAGGCACGGATTGTGGGGGTCCTGGCCATTTTGACCAGGTCAAGACGGTGTTCACTTCCAGATGTGGCCACACGACCTTGGCTGCATCCCTATTATATCACAGCTTGAGGGGGGAGTTTGATTGATGAGCGGTGCAAGATGACATAGTCCCAGCCCGCCCATCCATTCTCCTTGCTCTGCCTCCACCCCAACCCAGCCCAGGGCGCCATGTGACTCCGTTAAAAAGTCCGAAGAGAAGAGCCATATGACGGCGACCCGGCCGAGTGTGTGTAGAGTGATCTATCGAGCGTTCGTAATGGTGGAGGCGGAGGCAGCCGCCCCTCTCCTCTGCCACCAACAATGTCTCCCAGTGTGTCTCACTGTGAACGAACGCTACCTTTTCGAACCAACGATCCGGTGACTGCCCTGCCCCGGTGGTCAGAAGGTGCCACGCGGCCAAGCCGGTTCTGGAGAACAGAATGCACTCATGGGGGTTTGTCTCCCTCAACTTTCACCACTCCCTGGGCGCTTCGTGCGGCATCGTGCCCAGCTTCACATTGTCACTCTACTGTTAGTTTAGGACCGTATATATCTCATGGGCAGCCTGCCATGCTACCTGCCCTGGCTCACGCGGATTGGTCCAGAACGCCCATTACCACCCACCCACCAGCTCGTCCTTCGATGTCCTACATAATGGTTTTGAAGGGGTGTGGACTCGGCTCCTCTGCCACAGCGCCAATCTAGATTGGCAGCCCGTCGCTCTGTTCTACCCTACCAAAGTCCCTAGACCCTTTCCCTTTCGCCAATATTTCAACCCCAGCCCAGCCAAACTACGTAATGCAAAAGTAGGTAGCAGCAGCTTGGACTCACACAGGCGCAAAATAGCTCGGCGGGTCGAACACCCACAGTTGACTGGTTATCTGCCTAGACGGAAGGCCCTTTGGCTTGCTCACAGCAGCAACCCACCCCAGATTATGCATGTTGGCGAGCCAAGCGAAACCCAAACGCTCAACGGTAGGTAGGCATGTAACTCAACTTGGGTATATGGCCTGGGGAAAGCGCCCGGGAATAACGCAACGACGTGATTGTGTGAGGTCATGGCCATGTCCCTTGTTGGCCTGGCCCTTGCAGATTTCAGCGAGCAGGCAAGCAGGTTGAAGGGGGCGGGGACCACCAGTGGGACACCATCATGCCCGTGTCCAATGACTGCAACGGCAGCTGCTGGTCTCACTCCATGCGCATCGTCTTGTACCTGTTTTCGAAGGGGGGGCACCCTATAGATGAACCGGCGTGGGGATGGTTTCAGCACCATCTGCCAACGGGCGAGCGTCTTGATATCGCATTGCGGATGCATTTTGGAGAGATCTCCGGGGTCCCACCAACAATGCCCCCATACTTGAGCGGATGACGATAAGAAAAGCGCCATGGGAAATATCAGGTGAGGCTCATTTCAGGAGAGCTAGCGGCCGTCGACGCTGATCTGGGACCGTCTCGCCCCAGAAATAGTGCACTCAAGGTAGACTCTCGACAATGCCAGTAAGGGTTCAGCCGGCTACGAGGTGGATCTGCCCTCAGGTTGAGGTAGTAGAGGTTCCACAGATCCCGTGGACCGCACCGCACCACCCACAGTCGTAGTGTATGTAGCAAGGCAGTCGCAGTGGTTTGGATACGTTGTGGGTGGACGACTACGCTCCTTATCTCTACGGCTTGCATTGGCCCAGCGCCGGCTCTGATTCGTCCGTCCACACACCAAGTTCGAGATATTGGAGATGATAACATCCCTAGCGACTGATCGCTTAGCTTTGGGGTAGTGGCGGCGTGGCGCCACCACCACCTGCCAAAACAACACCAGGGTCATCGCCCACGGCCGTGACGGTCCAATCCTCGACGATCAGTCCGCGTCGTCCACGCAGCCATCAACCTCGTGATTGGCCCCCTGACTCCGGTTCCACTTCTCAGTAGCCGGAGGTGGTGGATGGATGCTTAAGCACCCGTCCCTCGGACCTCCATGCCCTAGCATGGGCATCATGGCTGGTGGTGTGAAGATATCCCCCATCTGAGTGGTCGATGATAGGCAAAAAAATGAAATTTGCCATCTCCAAGCCTTGGGGGGAAAACAACCCTGGCCCATTCTCGATAACCGCGCCAGCCCTGTCTGGTTAAACCCCCCTCGTCCCTGGATTTAAACCACCGATTCGTCATTCGGCCGCCACATTATCTCGCGAACGGGCGCTGGACGGCTCATGACCTGGATGGAAATTCGCTCCCTTGTGAGACATGCTGCACCAAAAGAGCGTCCAAGCTCTCTTGAGACGCTGATCAACTTTAGGGACGCCGGGGGTTCGACAGCCTGCGGTAGCCTGCTGCATCTTGCTGCAGCTTTCATGCAGAACCAAAGACGCCGCCAGGGTGCCTAAGCCAAGCCGAGCCAAGCCGCTCGCGTCCATGCAGCCAGTGGCGGCTTGCCGTCGAGGAATGGCCATGTCCATTTTAGCGAATGTCACCAGCATTCCCCCGATGGCCCTCGGCCGAGCTGAATTTGATGCCCCCCAAAACACTCCTGCATGCAATGGAGAAGTGTGCCGGATGGTGTTATTGTTTGGAAATCTGCCGAGAACTTCGTCCGCAACACGTAGCACATGGTCCTTGCGGACAAGACACGTTGGAATTCCGATAGCGCAGGCGAGGTAATTTTGGGAAGACCATCATCGCGAACCAATCAAGCACTGCTCTCTGCCACACACACGCATTGGCACTCACTGTTTTCTGACTTCATCAAACATAGCAGGCAGGTCGACGTGGGGACGATCCCCTCTGTCACTGGGGTTGTTTCTCCCAGCTACGGTTGGGAGGCACACACACCTGCACACACACACACGACGAGGAGGCCTTGGTCAGGTGGCAAGGATGTTGTATCATGCCTACCTACCTACAGCATGCACTTCTCAGAGGACGCAGTATCAAAGCTGCCGTTGTAACGCAAAGAAGGCAGTCCTCCGTACCATCAGCCTCCTCCCTGTCTAGCGGGACGCAGGTCTGGACGTAAGGAGAATGGTGCCCTCCTCTCTCATTGGCAGGCGGCTGGGGTGTCAGGGATTCCTCTCGTGAGGAGATGCAGCTTATCATCGGCAAAGATTGGAGACCTGGGGTAAATCCTGCAGCTCGACAGCCTAGGCAAAGAGGCGAAGGACTGAGGTGCAAGCCAGCATCCTGCAGAGTCGAGGATGGAGGCATACAATGCATTTCAATCCTCGCTAGTGTTTTATTTGGTGTTCTGGACCCCACAGACTGATGAGGTGCTGCGCAGTCCAAATGACCGAGGGAGCCAAGGAGCCATAACGTAAGTGATTTGCTTGAAGAGTCTGGGGAAAGATCAGCCTTAACTGTCTTGGGACACTGGGAGGGCCTTCGGATCTGGCCACAGCAGAACTAATCTTGAACTAAAGCTCGGTTCGTTTAAACAATTGCTGCTGTGGATGGGGCTGTTAGTACTTCTGTCTCTGCGTGCTTGGTTTCAAAAATCTCGAAAGGGGGTTTCATCATTTATGGTTCACTGTTGGACGGCCTCGAGGTCGATTTGCGACAATGACGGAATACGGGCCACGATGAGGAATCCAATCTGCATGGCGCGTATTGATCGCCTAAGGTCTGATGTCAGACAAGCCAAAACTCGCTCCTACTGCTAGCGACACCAGGGCATCAATTCTTGCTGCCAATCATCTCCAGGCCTGGCCAGCCCAGACACCCTTTTGGGGGTGGGAAGGGCTGAGTAGCCAATGACCAGCCAAGGAGGCGAAAAGTGCAGGCAGGTTGCAATAAGCAGACACATCTTGAATGATGAGTAGACTGCTGTATGTACGTGTATTACTCTGACAGTCGCTAGCACAGCGCTGCCCTCACTCGCTGGCCCGGCCGGCTCGCTACGTGCGTTCCTGGAAGAAGCTGCACGGAAGAACGAACACCAAGCCACATGATCATGACTGGAGCCATGTCTCTTGTTCCTGGGTTGCAATGGCCGCATCTAGATATCGTATGGCGAGAGAAATATTACCACTTGCACGAGAAATGGCGAACCCCGTCCATTGACTGATAGATCAAAATGACAGACGACAAGTGGAGGTGCCCCCAACCGTCTTTTCCCTTGACTGCTCCTCTATGATAGCATTGCACCATTCCCAGCGTGACTGCCAGTGGGGAAGGATACTGCTTGCACGGGAGACGCCGCTGCCCCCCAGCGCCGTCCACTCCGTTGATCACCCCCAACTAGCGCTGAATGATCCAAGACAACTCGGAGGGACTAGGAGCAGCAATGGCCCGAGTAGTTACCGTGGGCGCTGAGGTCTGGGTGGTTTGGCTACCAGCGCTTCACGCCTTGGTGGGCCGCCACGGCGCCCACGGTGGCTCGTCACACCTTCACAGGCCGGTACGTAAGCACAACAGAACGCTCCCACATGACGCCAGTCGCTGAGGAGAGGATCTGAGGCAGTGTGGAGAGCATGGGGAGAGGAGTGCTCGCCTAAAGGCGACGAGAGGGAGGGCCAAGAGAACTAGCTCGAGCACTCAGTTCCTAGCGGGTATCACGAGATCGATGCCAAGGAGGAGAACGAATCTCGCAACAGGCCACTACGGCCAGGCGCTGGAGGGCACCTGAGGCCGCCATTGGCGCGGTGGGTTTTCTGCGACTTACTGCGAGATTGGCCTGTAACAAGCCAGGAAGGTAGCAGGTGGTGCACTGCACCCGCCGCAAAGCTTTGGCCTTCTCACCACTGCCCTGAGCCTGGAAGAAAAAGTCAATCCGCATTATTAGTCTATCTTCAGCATGACAGTGCCCAGGGGTAATTGTTTGCATTATTGTACAGATGATTGTCATTGTGCAATGCTTGTGTTGGTCTATATGATATCGTGACATCGATTAGTTGTAGGGAGCACCCCGTTCAAGAGAGATCACCAGCAGGCCTCCCGCTAAAAAAAAGTGAGAGCGCATATTGAAGGCAGCGTTTCATACACTACTGCTGGTGTAGGCGCTGTAGGTGGGTATCGTGCTCTAACTCCCTCTCTAAATTTTTTTTGGGTGAGGTGGGCGCTGCAAAGTCAGGAGAGGGATTGACGAAAGATGGTGCAATGAGTGCAGAATCATCCTATTGTGGAGGCGAGAAAGCTGCCCACAACCCACACCCTCCCCGATACCTCCCACGCTCATCCAACCCCCATAGAAAATGTTTTCGCGGGTTGCTCGCTCATTTTCGTAGAATCGGGTTGCCCCTCACGGGATCGGTACAGAAGAGATGTTACAATTCCCATTCCGTCTCCAAGTCGGAGTCACCTCAGCCTCGACCCGATCCGTGGTAGTCAGACGAGGAAAATTTTTCTTCTGAGAGGTCTCATCCTGAACTGCGCTGTGCTTAGCCCAGGCCTCCAGATCTTGGGCCTGGCCCAGGCGGTAGTCTAGACTGCGCCATCCAATCGGCCGCCGCGATGCTCGCAAGACACTGCACGCCTCCTGATGAATAAAAAAAATGCTGCGTGCACAAAAAGTTAAGCCACATAAAATACACACCCCTCCCCCATCCACCCAAGGCCACTTATCATTGCCTAATCCAGACGACTGTGGGGGGTGCACACCTCCCTGTCGACCCACCGAGTGCGCAATTGCAGTGCTGCAGGGCATGGTGGAGAACTTTTCCTGAGAAAGGCCCACCTTCTCCCCATCCTTGCCGCTTCGACCTAAGTGGTGACTGGCTCATGCAACCTGGACTTGGGCCGATGTATCTCTGGCTGCCAGTTGCGTGCAAGTGTACATCTGGCACCCATGCTTCTATGTCTCAAAGCACTCATGGCTCTCTCTTCCCTCCACCTCCCGCCTACCCATCTTCATACATACATATTCAACCCGTTGCCCGCTCAAACCTGGCTCTTGATCTCTTCTACTCCATGATAATCTCTTCTCTGCTTCCAACATTCTCTTTACACTAAGCCTTTGCTCATATATTTTACTTGCGTCGTACCATAGAGACCCAACACTACTACTACATTGTTCTTGGCTCTCCATTGTCCGCACAGCTAATACTCACCCATCTACCTACCTCTGATCTGCCGCCCATTCTCAACCGAACGGTTCATCGAACCTCATTGCCGAATACCGTCGATTGATCCGACGATTCGTTCCCAACAGCTTCATCCTCACTCACAATGGCACTCGATCTCTGGTCCCACCAGTTCTGCCTCGCCTGTGACAAGCAGGTCGAGAGCGACTCCGCAGCGTACTGCTCCGAAGCATGCAGGCTCACCGAGCTCGAGAGGACATCCACCCCGAATTCGCAGCCCAGCTCGCCTGGTATGACTCCTCCATCATACCCATGGACTGCTTCCCGCCAGCGACCCAGCTCCGGACTCTTCCTCTCTCCTGCCTACGACTTCGCCAACGCACAGCCTTACGGCACCACACCTCCGCAACAATCCATGCTAGGCAGCTACACAATGGAGTCTCACCACAGCCGAAGCTCATCATCCGGACGGGTGTTGACACCATCGAGTTCCTACACAAGCCTCTGCTCAATGCACAGCGCCAACTCCGCTACCGAGCCCAGTCAACTTTCAGATGGTGCCAAGAAGGAGCTGCGAGCATACGCCGTCTCCTTCGAGCACGTCAGGACGCAACGACGACGCTCGTATTAAGCAACACCAACTACAACCTGCTCTCCCATAACACTACACAACTCTCATGAATCAACCTTACGACACACGCAACTCATTTAAACGACCTGGGTGGCACGTCCCTTATCCCACCACCAAAAAAAACACTCTTCACATGCTCACACATACACACATTTCCTTGAGTTCTACTGTTGTAACAAAAATACAAGCATCTGTATTGGCGGGGTGCATCAAAAGAAAAGAATGGCGATTTGATTTTACTATTACAATTTGGAAGGCCAGCCTACACCGACGGCATTGGCAGGCTCTGCACCGGCAGGGCAGTACGACAAGGGTCATCGGATACGATACCCTCAACTAGAGATGGACGTTGGACACGATGACTTCTACGGATGCCACTTGCTCCAGGCGGGCCATCATGATTATTCGGTGTTGGCAGGCGATTTGATCAGCCTTTTTAAGATTGGCGTATTTGGAATTTTGAACGATAAGGGACACTGGCGCAAAGAAACAACCTTGACCACGATTAGGCAGGTTGAGGGAACATTGAATTTTGAAATGATATCTATATCCTGTACTGGTTGATTTGAAGGACTGTGAAGCATAGCATGGCGTAGCATTTGATGGGCGAGATTGAATCATTTGGTTAAACAGCACACACAATGAATCAAAATCGTTGAATACAAGCACATGATACCCATCGATATACTCGTCCCTTCTTGAGAATGATCTGTTCCTTGATGTCCTCCCTCTGCATGAGACTCCAGTTTTTGCTTCTTCTGACCCTCACCGTAGGCGACTGAGGGTAGCACACGAGGCAGATCTCCTGCAAACCTGGATGGTCGCACGGCAGAGTCCTAGAAGCATACAGTCAGAAAGGCTTTCGGCAGCCTTGCTGATTGGTGCCAAGGGTATTGTCCCGTCCCCAACGAATTCCTATGTATGTACATGCGTACAGAAATGCACCCACACCACCACAACCTTGTCACCCCAGACGTTGGTAGGGAGGAGGGCGGGAGGCAAAATGCAAGGCGCCACGGATGCACAACTGGAAAGTTTCTTTTCTCGTCAAGGGGGGCCATGTATATTGGTGTCATGCTATTACAACGGTCGTTTCCCTCCTCCCCCCCTTTCCCCCTCCATAGGAATTAAACAGGAATGATTATTATTAGACGCTGCCTGCCGCGGGTGTCCAGATTCGACGACCGCTGGGCATGTAAAATTTTTTCGATCCTCATACCATGTGTTGTACAAAGCACGTAAGATGCCTAGCTCCAGAGGCCGATCGTTAGTCTTAGCACGCGTCTCGGGCTCTCCCTTTCGTGATGTGGAGAGAGAGAGCGGTATCGGCGACGTTGTGATCATGATCGGTCACGGCGGGCACCATAAATAAGATTTCACAATGTTGGACGGGCGATTTGCTGCCGCTAGCCTGATCAGACCTACCGGGCGGGTTCCTGCGAGGCGCCCAGATTTTTCACCGGGGCTCTGTTTTGTTTAGACGAAGGGAAAGGCTGCGCTAGGCATCGAAGGTTTGAGGATGGCCCCAGAAAATTTTTCCCGGTTTGAAGCTTCAAGCACGCCGCCTCTCTTGCTTGACCGGTGAGTTCCGACGGGTCACCTTGGGGCTCTCACCTTGGGCGGGAAGTAACGTCATAAGAACTGCAGCGTTGGTGTTGTGTCCGGAGGAGGTCTTCCCGTCCAATCGCGAGGTGTCCGGGCATCTTTTTCCCTTTCCTGCTCGTGGATCGTCGTCAGCCTTGTGAATTGCACAGGCTGCCTCACACACCACCCCCTTTGATAGTGAACCGTGCACTGCCGTGAAAATTTGCACCTTTTCGATGATGCCCGTATGGAGCAAAACAATACACGTGTGCCAGCCAGAGCCGTTGTCGCGCTGAGTTGAGTCACTGGTCGTTACAGCCTACTGGTCCTGTACCCACTGCCAAACCCGGGAGACGGGCCTCAAAGGCAGCAGGGCTAGACCCGGCTGCTACGGATTAGCGATGGATAGTGGTGATATTAGTGGATGCTTGGGCATGGGCGAGGACAATCTGCACTACGCCTTGGTGGATTAGTGCAAGGCAGGACGAGATCAAGCAGCTCTGCCGTCTTGCTGGCATTGACGAGCAAATCTAATCTAAATGGATCTTAGTAATACCTTGCACTCTACCTTGGTACTTGCCTTACTTTCTTGCTCCCCTTCCAACTTCTGAAGCAGCGGACTCTGGAAATAGCACCATCAAGGGCAAGGGCCCCATCTTTGTCCTACAATTGTGCAGAGCTCAGCGGCTCGGTCTCTTAGGGCGTCCAACGTGAGCAAGCTGCTTCTGTGCTGTCTCCAATGGAAGTTAGATGTGGTTTCAGGCACTGCGACGTCATTCGTCATCCCCCCCCGTCTTCTGGCCAAGCGACGGGAGAAAACACAGCATTTCTCGGGGAAATAACTCAACTGCCATCCAATGACTCCCTGCTACCTTCCTATTCTCTCCCTCCCATGCAAGCGGTAATTGGGGGAAACGGCTCCCATCCATCCGTCATGATGCAGCTTGCCGACATCTCTCAGCCCACTTGGGGCCCGTCTCGGAACCCGGAAACTGACGCCGGACAGCTCCGAAAGACGTACGAGCGCAGGCGTCTGCTCGTACGTGTTTGCTCTGCCAATGCTAGCGTTGCTGTTGCGTTTCTGCTGTACGTTTCACGAGCACTCTCCTCGCCGGGAAGGGATCATTGATTAGGCCGGTTGCCAGAGCTGTCCTGCCACGGCCTTTTTTGTCCGGTTGATCTGCAACATACTTTCATCCATGTGCAAATCTCGATGAGTGTGGCAATTTCTCCCCAGCCGCCGCATCATGGAAAACCAAAGTCTGCATCTGTTCATCTTGCTTTCAATCTTTTCTGATCTGACACGATGTTGGCTAAATGGACGCTGACTTGCCTCCTTCTTGATGACGCCCATTAATTTTGATACTTCTTTTGGCGGCAGTTTCTAAACATACGGCTCACACAGCCCGTCTTCATCAAGGTGCACAACTCGGAGTCTCACTGGCGTGCATCTATCTATGCTACGCACTGGCCGGCCCTTTGCTATTCGCCAGACACCGTCCAAGCTTACGTAGGTACTGCGAGGGCCCCACGCATAATTGATGCAGGCCGAGAGTTTGTAAAAGGCAGACAGCGATTCCCTTTGTGCAACAACGTATGTATCCTCTGCCGAATCGAGCAAAGCTTGCAGGCTCTGAGGATCTTGCCTCGATGCAATTGGAATGTCTATTGCACTATTGTCAATGCCTTACTGGGGTCGCGGATCTTGTCAGCCTGCTTTATGCATCACTACCTGAGATGGAGAGAGGACCTGTCTGTGGGCGTGAGCCGCAAGGGCCACACGGATCTGCATCCACGTTTTAATGCGTGTTGATGCATTGCTCTGGATCAATAGGAAGCTGCCAGCTGTCTCACCCAGTTCGTCCTTTTGCTTCTGCGTCTGCTCCAAGTGGCCGGAATCGCACACGCCCCCCCTTCCACCCTTCCATCGCCTTCTATCACGGCCGTGCCAAGTGGCAGGAAACCGGGGCCAAGGTTGGGCTATGGTGGCTGCCGGCAAAGAAGCCCATTCGCTGCCTCCGACAACACGGCTGTTTCGCAATATCTTGGGACCCTCTTAGTCGGCTCAAAGCTGTTTTCCCAATGGTATGGTGCCTGGTGCGGCTAGCGTGCGGAACAAGGCCCCCCTCTTCGAAAAGCTACTAGACAGGCATCTTGCTGGCAGTATCCTAGCCAAGCTTTCTGTCAAGCTTCTCTACGTGGAGAATGTTTAATGCGTTGTAGTTTCATGTGATGAAGGATTGCCCTACATTGTGAATCTCTCTGGGATTCTGATTTTGATGCATAACTCGCGTGCCATTGGGATGTTGGGATCTCGCAAGTTTCTTAGGAACTTGCCGTCCGACGACTGGCTTTCTCACCCGTTCAACGCTGACATGTGTACTTTATGCCAATTGCAAGTGTCTCGGACTCGACGCAAGGACCCCCAAAAACACGCCCAGGTGCCCGCTAAGCTGCGACGGGTGCCTAGTTTTTGTGCTCAGGCTATGAAGGAGCTTGGCTGCATTCCTCTGCTGACTTACTTGGGAACAATGCTTCTGCTGGAGGGCACATCGTGTCTCACTAGGTTGAGACTTGGGCACGTTGGAAATGTGAGAACTCCTCTCAGGAGGGCCTGGACGGTCGGTTGAAACTTGGATCGTGGATCGGCCGATGGCCATGCGGTGTCCTTTGCTTGATTTTCGTCTGTCTGCCTTTGCATCCAGGCCAATTAGAATATTGTGAATACTTGTCAAGTATTTATCGATGATTGCATTAGACTCACATTGAAGCATCGTTCTTGATTTGTGCCAGTGTATATCTTCCAAATAGACTGTTCCCTTGACAGAAGACGAAAATTTTTCTCCAAATACTCCTAGTCGTCATGATCCACAGGTAATGATGAAAGGCACTTTCCGACAAGGAAACATCTCTTGCTGAGGGGCCCCCTCCCGATGCTGATTGATGATGCAGGCATGGGTAAGTAAGACAATCCCCTTTTCACCTCCACCTTTGTGTCTCTGAACTCTCAGCCACGTCGGATACCGCTCGTTCCAGACCTCGGTAACTCGGACATGAAAAAAAAGGCAGAAAACTGGAAGAGGGGGGAGCTGGAAGGTGTGTATCCTGTCCACCGGGTTTCATGCGCACGGGGGCTGCGCTTTCTGGATCCCCAAGACACGCCACACACTGACCTTGTCTCATTTTTTGTGCAAAATGGCATATCAGATGTGTGGCTTTGAAAGAAGCCATCTCGATCTGCTCTCTATTTAGAGATTTTTGAGGCTGTAGCCTCGCTTGGGTAGTTCCGCTCACCTGGTTTCTGTCTCGGTCTCAGCACTCGATCTCGGTCTCAGGGGAGATGAGGGAGCAGCTACGCGGGACGTTTGCTGGCGGATCCTTTCCGTGGTGGTTTGGGGCGTACAGACAAACTGAGGTAGACCCTCATTCTGAGTCTTGCGAGGGCAATGGGTGGCTCATGCCGTTTGGTTTTTCAAACGGCACGCAGTCTGGCTTTGCCGTTAGGGGAATATTCACCTTGGGTTTACGCTTGGTTCATTGAGAAATCACGAGCCGCTTGAACACGACCATCTGTTTTACCAAGGAAATCCGCTGGTTCTGTGTTGTCTGAGAAGTTGCCACCGCAAGCCTTTGCCCATGTACCTGGTTTAGAGTATGAATCTAGGTGGGCATAAAAGGGAGACGGATGCTGAGGGTTATGGTTTTGATGGTTTTCACAACGTGTTTGTCTGTTCATCCTCTCTCAAAACAGCTGAGACTAAAACTCAACCTTTGTCGCAGAAAGCCCGGAAGTATGGATTACTGGGGGCATTGTCCGATACAGCGCGAGGGCGATTGTTGTGCCATCGAGTAGTTCTTGATGGGAAGTCGAAATTGGAGGCGTTGCGGTGAAAACCCCAATGGTTCTTTTTAATGGCCTGATCATAGGTAGCTCTAGAAAATATAGGCTAGGCGAATCGACCGCCGATGAAGAAATCTGTGCAGGCGGATGTGAGCTGAGTCTCTCGTGCATACTCGAGGCAAGTTCCTCGCTCTCTGCTCCTGCCTTGTCAGAATTAGTATTCTTTCAATCAAAATCACGTTCTTGGCAAATATTCATTGATCGATCTCTGGCCAGCTCCTAATAGCCTATTTCGGCCTTTTCAGCATTCGAAAAGAGCCAGGCCCCGGTGAGGAAGAGGGCATTCACAAGTCACTTGCCTTTCTGCCTGTTCGCCTGGCTAGCGCCTAGGAACCACGAATCGGGCAGACATTCACCACCCTCTAACAATAGGGGAGAACTTGACACAATAGAGCTTTGTTCTCGTGGTTAGAAGAACTGAGAACCAGGTGAACTTGGCTGGGTATATCAAGCGATAATTCCTCCAATAGAAACATTTTGACATTTAATTAACAAACCAGTCATTTGGCCCTTTTACTGCATTCGACAACTACGGCACTGCTCTTTGTTCCAGGAGTTCTCGTTCACTTCGCTTAGGATGCAATACGCCAGGAGAAAAAGGTCTGCTGCCAGAATCTCAGATGAAAGCATTGAAGATGGTTTCATGATGGGAGCTAAGAAACGCAGAGTCGAGGGCGATGCTGGGACATCGTCTTGCTCGGCACCTGAAAACGAACACTCCAATACGAACCTCATTCTTTACTCGAAGATGAAGCTGTCTGTGTGGGAGAGGCTACAACTGGGCATAGCAATCGGGGTATCTCGAGAGAACAGGAAGAGAGATGCGGTTTACTCATCCTTCGTGGAGACCATCTCCCATCCTGGCTTTGGGTCTTATAGGAGAAGACCCTCCAAGCCATTCGAATCCCTTTCCGGCGCCCAGAGAGCGATAGGCGATCAGTTCGGGTTTACCCATCATGAGGATCCCTCGATACCCGACGGGCTGTATCCTGTGTAAGCGCGCAGCCCTCAAAGGGAGACAGGCCAAGCTGACCGACTGAGTATAGACACGCCGCAAGCCAAAGACTCCAAGCCGTGACAGGAGCTCGAAATCCCCGCCGGTTCATGCCTTTCTGGGACGACATCAAGTATTGCTACAATGGCCTGAAGGTTGAAGAAGCCAGGGCCGTAGGTGATGGCTTCAGAATAACGGATGTGCGCCGTCAACTCGAGTTGGCCTGCCGCACGAATGGATATCGCAAATTGGAAGTCGAGTCTCTCGCTTTCAGTCGAAATGGCTGTGAATTGTGCAAGGAAATGTTTCAGCTGGGTCCGTCAGAGCAGACGTGGGAGCAAATGGAGTTTGGTGACTTGGTGATTGATGACAAGGTGGGCAAAATTACGCTGTACGAGGCCAACGTGTAAGTCTCTGTATCTTCCCTTTTCAAGGTGGACTTGAATTTGCTAACGCCGCCTCCAGAACCTCCTATTCAGGAGCTACACGAACATGGACCTGGTTCAAGATCGAGAAACCGCTGGCTGTAGGAGACGGTCGATTTCCCTCGGAGATTCGAAACCTACCGAATTCATGGGTGATCATCGCCATGCCTAAGCGGCAGGTCATGCAACTGAGTGCCAATTACTCAATCTCAACGCAGCAGCTCACGATGTCACTTCAATTAACGAAAGATGGCGTCCCAAGCATGATCTGCAGCGATGCGCCCGAGGTGGTTGCCTCGAATCTCGCTGGTCCCAAGAATTTTCTTTGGGTGTCGAAAATGCCCAGCACTCGCAGAAATAGGGGACGGCGATGGTGGAAGCAGTTTCGGAATCTCGCGGCCATCGATGCGCTGTCTTGGGAAGCGGTGCAGGCGGACATGGAGAGATTCGAATGCCAAGTCGAAGTGGTCTCCAAACCTGGCGCTAAGTTTGTGGAAGTTGGGCCTGCTGAGAGAAAGGGAGACAAAGAATAAGTATTACAGAGTGGGAGAGGGAGCCAGGAACTAGAGCGACCACAGCGTTTCATTCCTATGTTCCCTCTATCACCATCTTGAGGTGGCTGATCGTTGATCGATGGCATTTTTTACTGGACAAGAGAGGAAAGCGGGTCTTTCATACTGATTTGACCGCCCTGGAGGTGGTTTCTGCGATATAGAGTGATCACATTTGAAAGCAGGGGGGATATTTTGCACAGGCTGGGAGTTTAAGTCGCTATTCTTAGCATCGAGTTGTTCTGGGTTGGCATATTCGTTAGCTAGCTGTTAATGGGCTAATCTAACATTCTGATTATCAAAGCAAACAACTTGTCCTCTGTCGTCGTTGATATCGATAGATGGCGGTGGAAGATTGGGGCGGGACGGGATAACTTGCATCCTTAATCTATTGGCTGCAGCGGTGGAAAATCAGAGGCTCCCCGCCAAAGAAGCCCCACTCAAGATTCAGGGAACATTTTCTGGTGTGCGCCCCTCCAAACCCACGTCCAGACCAGGCTCCAGTCCAAATTCACCAAGCTTCCGGCAACCAGAACAACTCTTGTGGCCGATTCTTGGGGAATTTCTCTTTACCTTCAATCACCCGTGGTATCTTTCCCTAAGTTTTCTCTGTTGCGTCGAGCGAACAAAAGTTGCCCACCATGCAGGCTCCGGTGTTGGTTATGAGTGAGTAGAAACTTGCAGGCCTCGAAGCTTCCATAGCTTCCCCTGATGGCATCGCGGACCCGAAGTGCTGACAAGATGCTGCAGACACCAATAGTGGTGAGAGGCAGGTTGGAAGACAAGCTCAGATGTCCAACATTGCTGCCGCCAAGACGTATGTCCTGTTCCCCCCCGCCGAATCCCCATATCCGCTTTCCACGGCCGTTGCATCAGTATGATAGAGAAGCCCGCTAACGTCGGGCCAGTGTCGCCGACATCATTCGATCATGTCTTGGACCCAAGGCCATGCTGAAGATGCTGCTTGACCCCATGGGAGGTATCGTGCTTACGAATGACGGCCATGCTATTCTACGAGAGATCGAGGTGTCACATCCCGCCGCCAAGAGCATGATCGAGCTCAGCCGGACACAGGATGAGGAGGTTGGCGATGGCACAACCACTGTCATCATCTTGGGTGAGTCTCGGGATACTGTACAGCCTGCCCAAAAGTTGGTATTATTGACATGGGTTATCTAGCCGGTGAAATCCTGGCCCACGCTCTCCCCCAGCTCGAACGCAACATCCACCCCGTAGTGATCATCTCTGCCTTCAAGCGTGCGCTGAAGGACGCTCTTGAGATCATCGACGAAATCTCCAAGCCTATCGATATCAACGACGACGAGGCCATGGGCCAGCTTATCTCATCCTCCATTGGCACCAAGTTTGTCTCCAGGTGGATGGACCAGATGTGCTCTCTGGCACTCACGGCTGTCCGCACAGTCACTTGGGAGGCCGGCAACGGAAAGACCGAGGTCGATATCAAGCGATACGCCCGAATCGAGAAGGTCCCCGGAGGTCAGATCGAGGACAGCCAGGTGTTGGACGGAGTTATGGTGAACAAGGATATCACACACCCCAAGATGCGAAGGCGCATAGAGAATCCCAGAATCGTCCTTTTGGACTGTCCGCTCGAGTACAAGAAGGGAGAGTCACAGACCAACATCGAGATCACAAAGGAGGAGGACTGGAACCGTATCCTACAAATCGAGGAGGAGCAGGTCAAGGCCATGTGCGAGGCCATTATCGCTGTCAAGCCCGATCTCGTCATCACCGAGAAGGGTGTCTCAGGTGAGTTTACCCTCTTGTCCTGGAGTACTTGGCAACCAAAATTGAGCCACCACTGACATCGTGACCTGTTAGATCTCGCACAGCACTTCTTTGTTAAAGCTAACATCACAGCTCTTCGCCGAGTCCGAAAGACCGACAACAACAGAATAGCCCGCGCTACAGGCGCCACTATTGTCAACCGAGTCGATGATCTCCAGGAGGCTGACGTGGGCACCCGATGTGGTCTGTTCGAGATTGAGAAGATTGGCGACGAGTACTTTACTTTCCTTACAAAGTGCCAGGACCCCAAGGCCTGCACAGTCCTCCTCCGCGGTCCCTCGAAGGATGTGCTCAACGAGATTGAGCGCAATTTGCACGATGCCATGGGCGTTGCCCGCAACGTCATGTTCCACCCTCGCCTGTCGCCTGGTGGTGGTGCAACTGAGATGGCCGTGTCCGTGCGCCTGAACGAGCTGGCTAGGAGCATCGAGGGAGTTCAACAGTGGCCATACAAGGCTGTCGCAGACGCCCTCGAGGTTATTCCCCGGACGCTGGTTCAGAACGCTGGCAAGAGCCCCGTGCGTGTCCTGACAGACCTACGTGCCAAGCAGGCCGAGGGCAACAGCTCGTGGGGTGTGAATGGTGACACTGGTACCATTGTGGACATGAAGGAGTACAACGTCTGGGAGCCCGAAGCTATCAAGCTTCAGAGTATCAAGACCGCTATCGAGGTATGCACATTCTTTTCACATCAGCTGTTGATAAGAATGACTCAACTAACATTCACTTAGGCTGCATGCTTGCTGCTTCGTGTAGATGACATTTGCAGCGCCCGAAAAGGCCATCAAGGCAGAGCTCCCGGGGCTGGTGGGGAAGAATAAGATACAGCCTCCGGGGGGTGTATACGGATCTGGTTAAAGTCTGTGGGATAATAGGGAACTGGGTGGTGGATGTATGAAACACTGATGCTTGCATATACTTGAGCTGGCCATACCCGGGCCCCAAACTGTTTGAACAACCTTAAAAAGATAGACCCTTATAGGCGAAAAGAGAACCGAAACGAAACACAATCTAGATGCTTTCGGGCGGCAGAAGTACATAAAAGCTGCGATGCTCAGCTGAAGAGTCGTGGGTATCATCTATAATTACAATGCTGTGAAATAAACGCCATTTTCTAGCCACTTCAGTCCAAGATCTCAGTCGTCATCATGAATGACCAGACCAACCGCTGGCGCAGACGAAACAGCCGTTTCGTCGCCTTCTTCGCCATTCTTTCCCTCACCAGTACCCGCTTTGACCTGCCGAGGCTGTACTTTAGCAGCCTTGCCGTCACCCCCCGCGCCGACTGCTGACGCAGGCGCCTTCGCATCCCCGTTGGTGCCCCCCTTGCCCTTCTTCGCCTTCCGCGCCTTCATCTTCTCCCTCTTCTCCCTGTTCTTCCTGGTCCTCTCGTCGTCCTTGCGGTCCCGCTCGTCCTTGTGCTTCTCAAACTCCTCCTGCTGCTTCTCCCGCGCGAGCTCCTGGTCCATCTCCCGCAGGCGCTCGTACTCGCGCCGCCGCGAGGCCTTGTACACGTGGAACTCGCCGCTGCCCGCTCCCGCGCTGCTGCCCTGGACGTTGGCGACGATCTCCGGGGGCGCCGCGCGCTTCTTGAGCGACGCTGCCGCGCCGCCGAGGGGCGGGACGCTGATCTCCTGGTCGGGGCGGGCGAAGAGGGCGTCGACGGTGGCGGCCTGGGCGGACACCGGGGTGAGGGCGCGCTTCTTGGTGGGACGTCGGGACTTGGGGTCCGCGGACGTTGGAATGGACTCGGGGCCTTCTCCGGACATGGCGCGCGGTTGGGATGAGGCGCGGCCGAGGACGGGGCGTGTGTTGTTTGTCTGAATGGGGATCCGGGGGGAGCCTTGGATATATGAGAGGCTACACGAGGTGAGGTGATGAGGGTGTGCCTATTCAAAGGGTAGGCTGCTGGTTTAAACGAAGGTCGCGTGCGCCGAACGAACGTGGATGGGAGACTGAGGTTGAGACTGGCGAAAAAAAATGCCGGTCTCGGGTAGGTCATATTTGAGGGACGGACATGGATGCCGATAAGATAAGCAGCCTGGAAATGTTTTTGGTGATATATCAGTGACACCATGGTGTGTTGCTATGCAAGTCTCAGTGGCATCGTGTACTCAATTCACCGGGGGAATGCTGCCTGGAATCACATCCACCCGGTGGCCTGGCTCCTTGGGCAACGGACCAAGAGCCCTTGGGCAGCGTGCAGGCATCTTGCCCTGCTTCATTGTCACCGTCCCGCAATACGTAATGGCTCTGGCTGGAGTTTCACTGCCGGGCAGCCAGCCAATGGCCGGGCTCGACCTGTCCCTACTAAGGCTAAAGGCGAGACACTATAGGCGCTGACACATGCTTCCCTCCCCGTTGGCCAAACTTCAGTCCAACCTTAATAATGTCGGGTTGCCTCCTTCTCTGCATAACCACCGCCTTCTCTGCTGCTGCTCCCTCCGCCCGAGCTCTCCTTTTCCCCCGTCCGCCACCGTCGTGATCCAACTGAGATACCCTCGCTTCATTGAGTGCCTGAGCTTCGAACCAACATCCTTCATTGACAAGCATCTTCCTGCCCCACTAGCTGTTTGATTCATCCCGTATATGCTACAGATACAAATTATTCAGCCATCCATATTCGCGACGAACGCAAACAGCTTCACATTTGCCTTCTTCTTGTAACAACACCCAGTTTATTCAATCGCAATGGCGAAACCACGTCTTATAATCTTGATCCGGCATGCCCAATCTGAAGGAAACAGTACGTTCCCACCCCTCCCCCATGGCCCTTCACACCCCGGTAGCTAACCCCTCCACCCCTCTTGCTAGAGAGCCGCGAGATTCACCAGACTACGCCCGACCACCGAGTCAAATTGACCTCCGATGGCTGGGCCCAGGCTCACGAGGCAGGCCGCCGCCTCCGCAAGCTCCTTCGCCCCGACGACACCCTGCACTTCTTCACCTCGCCCTACCGCCGCACTCGCGAGACCGCCGAGGGCATCCTCACCACATTGACCTCAGACGAGGACGAGGCCTCGCCCTTCCGCCGCTCCGACATCAAGGTATACGAGGAACCCCGGCTTCGCGAGCAGGACTTTGGCAACTTCCAGCCATGCAGCGCCGAGATGGAACGCATGTGGCAGGAGCGTGCCGACTACGGCCACTTCTTCTACCGGATCCCCAACGGCGAAAGCGCCGCTGATGCCTACGACCGCATCAGCGGCTTCAACGAGAGCCTGTGGCGCCAGTTCGGCGAGGACGACTTCGCCAGCGTTTGCGTCCTCGTCACCCACGGGCTCATGTCCCGCGTCTTCCTCATGAAGTGGTACCACTTCACCGTCGAGGAGTTCGAGGACCTCCGCAACGTCAACCACTGCGAGTTCCTCATCATGCGCAAGCAAGACAGCGGCAAGTACATCCTGGAGAACAAGCTGCGGACGTGGTCCGACCTGCGCCGCGAGCGCGCCCTTAAGGAGGGTAAGGACCACGACGACTTCAAGCTGGAGCGGAACAAGACGTTCGTCGCCACCCGCCGCTGGGGCGGGTGCCCCGACGGCTGCAACCACAGCAGCCACTACAAGAAACGCGAGGACTTGGAGCTTTTGAGGCAGCGAGACGTAGAACACTCCGTTCGCGGAACGAACGGGGCTTCCGCGGACTCTGTTCATACTACCACGACTACCAGCACCACCATAACCACCGCGACACCCCGGAAGCATCACGTGCATCACGTAGCGAGCTCCGATGGTGATGACGAGGATGAGCAAGATCATGAGGAGAATGAAGATACTAAGGACCACATCCTGGAAATGAGCAGTGCTCAGAATAGCGCCAACAAAGAGAACCAGGCTCGGCTTCACCTGAAGAGCGTTCGATATCACGACCATCTTCATGTCGGTCGAGACTTTGGTGGCACTTACTCGGGCCACGCCTCGACGGCAGGCAGCGACACAGATGCTTCCGAGGAAGAGCATCATCGGCACCGCCGTCTGGCGTCTCTCGATGCCCGTCTCCAGCGCGTCACTACGGCCTCCGCTTTACGGAGGCAGACGAACGGGTCAGAACACAGTTCCGACAGCGAGCATGACGCTGTGCGGCCTGCCTACATGAGTCGGCTCGGCGATGGGGTCGAGGATGATGATTTGGACAGAGCGGAAAAGGAAGATAGGAGCATCCAAGGAAGCGTGTACTGAGCGGGTGGTTCTTTTTGCGGTAAAATAGTTAGGACAGAGCGAAAGAGGAAGATGGGCGCATACAATGATGCTTGTACTGAGCGGGTGGTTGGTTTTTGCGATAAAATAGTTAACCTCACGTGCCCATGAATTTACGAACGTTACGAGCGACAACCAAACACAACACAGATGGCCCATTTCACGTGAGCCACATGTTTAAATAAGAGCCGATGTTGGATGCTTTTCGTGTATCATGACATCAACCCTCCTGAAACAGGAGAGAATTTGATTTTAATCTATCTCATGGATTCATCCGACTCAAAGCCTATACGCCCCACGCAAAGAGCATTGAAGAGGGGGGAAAAGGGGAGGATGAGAGTGAAACAAACGATGAAAACCCGGGTGCCTATAGTTGTCCTCCTGTATCCCATTTCCTCAACGGCGAATGCACCTATCCGGCCATAATGTAAAAAGAAGAAGAAAAGCAAACCACAAGTGCCTTAAAATGCGAAACTAGTCCCCCAGCGAGCTCGTCACATTACTATCTCTAGACCAGAAAGTGATCATCAGATGAAAGAAACGGTTGCTGAATGGAAGCAACGTATGAATAGACAGAGGCCGAATGAAATGCAAGAACAAAAAGTAATAACAAATGCCAAAACTCCAATAACCCCTTTCCATCCCTAACCTCCTTCCGCTTGGCCTTTGCCCAGCAAAAGACGAAGCAGAAGCGAGGATGACAAAAAAGACAATGAACAAACATTAATACCCGGAATACTGTGAACGCAAGGCTAATGCTACAATAGAAGAGTTGGAAGGTGAAAGAGCAAGCCCATACCACCAAGCCATTCCGCCACATGCTTTTCTCTATGATCGATCGTTTGTCGTCTGACATTGAGACGAAGTTGTATAAAAAGGAGAGTGAAGAGTATTAGAAGAGATAAGGAGAATAAAGAACCTGAAACTCTGCTAGATGCTGGCATCTCAGCATCCCACGGCTAGTCTTTTAGAAGAACTTGGCCATGGCTCGGCTCAGATCAATGAAATCAACAGGCTTCGTCACGTAGTCGCTGAAACCGGCCGCTATGCACTTGTCCTGCACATCGGACATGACATTGGCAGAGAGTGCAATGATGGGCATACTGGGGACGCCGGCTTCTTTCTCCCAGTGTCGAATCTCGCGACACGCTTGGTACCCATCTTTACGCGGCATATGTAAATCACACTGTTGAAATATATCCGTTAGTTACCACCAAGGGCCATCCATGGTCCGAAGTTGTGCACGTACCAAAATTAGGGAGTAATGTCCCTGAGGGCGAGACATGACCATTTCGATGCATTCGACGCCATCTACTGCAACGTCCACGTCGACTCCGATCTTTTTCAGGTACTTCATCAGTACCTTCTGGTTAACAGGGTTATCTTCCACCAAAAGGACCCTATAACCCTTGTTACCCATTCTCTTTTCAATCTCCAAATAGCTTGCCTTCTGGCTCTCGACCATCTTCTGCGCTGTTGAGCGGTTTCGATCAATACTGACATCCCGCATTTTGTCAGGATCGAATATAACAGCAAATCGGGATGGCTTGACCGGCTTATATATGAAGGTCACGAGATTCTTCGTAAGAAGCCGCTCGAATGGTGTATTGGCGGCGAGCTTCGTG